AGGCTGTGATCATACTGGTGGAACCTGCCCATGTGTCCCGCAGACGATGATCCTGTTTTTTTTCCTTTTTTTATGGAAGAGGGGGCAAACGAGTAGATGAGTCACCTGATTGAAGTCGACATAAACGCCTGCATCTCAGGAGTCTCTGCTTGTTAATACAACAAATATATATACGAGTTCATACATCTGTATCAAAGAATGCTGTTGTTCTGCGTAGTTTGCTCGCTTAGTCAGCTCTTACGACACCCACGGGATGAATAGGGGTGGTGACATTCCGTATTCTTAATCCGTCACCACACGAACTATTTCTTCGTGAATTAGCTTAATAAAAACTAAATTTTATGATAATAAATAATATAATCGTTTTAGTAATTAAGCGTAATAAATTCAAACACAGTCGTAATTATGACCCTATGTTTATGACTCATAGAAATGGACAGTTTATATATCTACAATGTGGTGACACTCCGTATTCCTAATCTGTCAACATACTGAGACATTTTTAAAACACATGCATACTATAGATTACACCTAGACACATTACAAACAATAATACTATGCTTCACAAAACGCCGTCTAGTCCCAAACTAAGCAGCGCTCCTGGGTACTAGACAACTGATATAAATACAAATACACTTTTTTTTTGTAAATACGTACATATTATACATAGAAACACCCAGAACAAATCAAACATTAAATTCCTATGCATCCAAATCCGTGTGGTGACGGAATACGCAATGTCACCACCCCTATTCATCCCGTGAGTGTCGTAAGAGCCGACTAAGGGAGAAAACTACGCAGAACAACAGCACTGCAAAGAGAAGGAAAACTTGACACAAACCATATAAAAACCCGTCTGGCCAGCGTGGTATAGTAGGCCAAACCCTCCTTTCTAAGGAGAGGTCTATGTTCAGCAGTGGACTATTATAGACTGTTGATGATGATTCATACAAATTAGCGGGTTAATCACACAATGTTCTGGGTGTTAATCGAAGCCAAGCTACCTTTTTTATATACCATGTTGTGTATACATCTTATAACTAAGCATTAAATATACTTTTGTATATGTATGTTTTATTTTTAAACTCTAAACAGACGTTGGTTTACCTGAGAAACAATTAAAATAAAAAGACCACGGTGATCTTCGCAAGCTATTGCTTATATTTTTTCCTTCTAATTACAATAATATTTCGGACACACAACGCCATCTAGTTTCAAACTAAGCAGAGCTTGTATTATGAAAGCTAGATTGCCTGATGCATTACTTACATACTTTTTTTTGTAAATACATACATATTATACATAGAAAACACCCAAACTCCGAAACAAATATTTGCAGAGCATACAAACATTTAATCCGACCCGGGAATCGAACCCGAGACCTCAGCACAGCAGTCGCATAAACTACCATTACGCCACCGAGTCAAATGATAATGACGTCTCGTTGAAAAGTAAAAAATAAATAAATGATGAATCAATGAAAAAATGTAAATGACAATTCGCTTACATAAGTGGCAATTATACATAGTTGGCTAAACGTAGACAATGAATATCTGAACCCCCACTGTGAATATAATAATATGTAAAGTATATATATATATATATATAAATGCTGACTGTAGGGATGGCGTAGTGGTTTAAACGGTCGCCACGCCGCTTACTACTAAGCTGAGTGTTGTGAGTCCGATCCCCACATGGGACGACACTTTGTGTGATCCACAAATTGTTGCTCTGAGTCTGGGTATTCTTTGTGTCCGTTTCATGTATGTTTGTAAAGTCCCCGCGACACAGGATATATTCCTAATGCGGGAGTCGTCTTTTAAAAAAAAAATGTCTTGTTAAACTGGTAATTGAAAATGTTTTTATAAAATTTTCACTTAAATTGATATCAAGCGGGTAATTAAAACAATACTTGTTCTAGATAAGATATTCACACGCTGACAAATTATAATTCCGCATGTGAAATAAAAGGTTTTGTATGAATAATGTTTATTATATTTTAGTATTTACTCTGACTGACTTGTCTGTTGGTCTAGTGGCTAGTGACTCTGACTGCGAAGCCGGAGGTCGTGGGTTCGATTCCCATCCAAGACAATAAATTGCACGACGAGCATGATCACTTGTTCTGTCTGGGTGTAATTTTTTTGGCTATTAAAAAGACAACTCTCGCCCTCCCCAACTTAGGAATATACCCTTTGTCGCGGGGGACTTTACAAACATTCATGAAACGAACACAAATTACATCCAGACTCAGAACAACAATTTGTGGATCACACGATGTGTTGTCCCATGTGGGTATCGGACCCACAACACTTAGCGTAGTGGTAAGCGGCGTGGCGACTGCTTAAACTACTACGCCATCCTTTAATCTATAATATATATGTATTTATAAATATATATGTGTGTATCAGCAGTCTGGTTACCATTGCATAGGCTTTGACTAGTTTGCGAATTGTTCATCATCAACAGCCTTTAATAGTCCACTGCTGGACACAAGCCTCTCCTTAGAAAGGAGGTTTTGGCCTACTATACCACGCCAGACGGCCAGACGGGTTGGTATAGGGTTTGTGTCAAGTTTTCCTTCTCTCTGCAGTGCTGTTGTTCTGCGTAGTTTTCTCCCTTAGTCGTATCTTACGACACCCACGGGATGAATAGGGGTGGTGACACTCTGTATTCTTAATCCGTCACCACACGGACGGAGGAATTGTTAAGATAATATTATTAGTAATAGACAGGATACGTGACGTTAATTATTTAATTTCATTCCATTTGAAGTCGAGTTGAAGAACAGAGGAGGATACATTGCTAGACATAGGTAAAAATGGCAGATTAACTGCTGCGGTAGGCGATAGAATGGAGGCCTGGTCTATAGATTGGCCGATATCCAGCCGGGACAGGGTTTCACTAGGTGTGGCGTCAATCTGGGGGGGGGACCTGAAATAACATGTTCCTGGTCCTCCACGGAGTGCGGCGTATGAGTCCGGCCGTCGGGATGGTTTTTAGTGGAAGCAAAACATTCTCCTGGCTCCTACATCCACCCCGTCACCGAAAAAGAAAAGACAACGAATAAGAACAACATAGAGAAATAAACTCTCAAATCAAGTGCAAAGTGAGCAACAAAACGGCAATCTACAACTTGTTTAGACCAGTCGAAGGTACACAAATATAAGAATTTATCTCGGTTACGTGAATGGTACAATTTACTCGGATTTCCCAAATGTGATGTGGCCGTGAGATAATTGTATTGTGGGATTGTATTGTGTGATTTGTGTGTGCGCCCGGAACAGTCTAACTATCGCCCTATTTTAGTGCGACGGAAATGTTTTGTTGATTGTTTAAGTATTATTGTTGTGATTTATTAACAGTGTATTATGTTTTCTCTGTACCAACACGTGTGAATTACGTATTTATGTAAGTCTTATTTTTAAGAGGTTTTTTTCTTTGTTAATATTAGCGTGGGAGAGCCATGCCTAGGTAAATATGGGCCGGCTTGATTGGAATACTTCGGCCTCATAGAAGACCACCGCCGCTCAATTCTGAAATTTTAATATTGTATCAATAGACTGTTGATTGACTGTCGTCGGAACAGTTTTACACTTTTCGTATTCTACTGAGACCAATTGTCGATGACTTTATAATGGTTTCGTAAACGGTACATTTTAAATTTGTAAGAAAATGATATATTTAATATCCAGATACGAAAATGTTGTTGATATCACCATTGATGTGCCATTGTCACCACATCTACAGTCTAATGACACTTTGAATTCATGTTAGTATAATTTGATCGCAGTTCTTTCCTTGCTTTTGTGAGTAAGTGAGGTTACCGGAGGTTCAATCAGCTTGCCCCTAATTCCCGGGGGGAGGGGACTGTCCATCAACTGAAACTTCTGCTCTTTCGCCCCCTACGCCATAAAAAAAAATCCTCGAGATCGCTATTATTTTGACATTGGATTATTTTGACTCTGAAATGATTCTTCGTCCTTTTAAGTTCCGGGTAATTGTTAACAGCACAGAAACTTAAAAAAACTCTTTCAAAATAAACTTGAAACATTTTTTATTGTAGCTTGTTTTGTGATGTTTGCTTGATTTTAATGATTTAGTATTTTAGAATAATTACGAATGATAAACATATACTTGAATGAGACGATGACGCAAAAACATTACAATTCTATTCATACACTTACGTTTTATAAAAATTGGTAGACAGAAGTACGGTTGTTAATTTTAAGTTTGTCTGTTGCAATGTTATTATATACCTTAAGTATCTAACACATAAAAATAAGTAGCTGTAATGATCTATGCTAATATAATAACACTGAAGTGTTTTTTCTTTAATTGTTTGTTTGTTGACGTGCTGATTTCTTGAATAATCTTACAGCTGATTTGAATAAATCTTTTTTTATTGCATAGAGTAATCAATGACGAAGATTATACGTATATCATCTATCCGTGTGGTGACGGATTAAGAATACAGAATGTCACCACCCCTATTCATCCCGTGGGTGTCGTAAGAGCCGACTAAGGGAACAAACTGCACAGGACAACAGCACTGCAAAAAAGAAGGAAAACTTGAAACAAACCCTATACCAACCAGTCTGGCCAGCGTGGTATAGTAGGCCAAAACCTCCTTTCTAAGGAGAGGTTTATGTCCAGCAGTGGACTATTATAGGCTGTTGATGATACGTACATATATCATGATAACACCCGCTATAGGAATCATGACCATGGTCGCTATGTTAAATATGCAAATCTGTTTTACCTTTCTTTGCGAACAAGATAAGTCACCTGATAGAAAGTGACTACCACCGTCTATGGACACCTACAACTCAAGAGTTACGAATGCCTTGCCGCGCTTTGTCCCTTCTCCAGAAATCCTTATAATTCGGGGTGGGTGTGGGGTCGGTAACCTCGCTCACTCCATGAAAAATAACGAAATAATTGTTTATTAATATTGAACGTATTTTGTTGCAGGAATGAGGCACCAAAAGCAGTAGACTATGGAAGGCAGGCGACAACTGCGCTTGCTGCTGTGGAAAGACTATCTCATACGGAAGAGGAAAGCGGTAAGATCATTGTGCATAACACCATCTAGCGAAAAGTATGTGAACTAACACGAACTGATGATATTCTAAAACAACGGATGGCGTAGTGGTTTAAGCGGTCGCCACGCCGCTCACTACTACGCTGAGTGCTATGGGTCCGATCCCCAAATGGGACGACGATTTGTGTAATCCATAATTTTTCATGTATGTTTGTAAAGTCACCGCAACACAGGATATATTCCTAATGCGGGAGTTGTCTTTTAAAGTAAAGTAAAGTAAAAGGCACTTGTGATCAACTAGTTGCGTGTTCGAATCCCAGTTAAGGCACTACCCTTGTGAACCCGCATTAACACAAGCATAATATTTTTATGCTATAGGAAGCAAACGAGCAGACGTGTGGTGACGAATTAAGAATACGGAGTGTCACCACCCCTATTCATTCTGTAGGTGTCGTAAGAGCCGACTGAGAGAGCAAACTACGCAGAACAACAGCACTACCCGTCTGGCAGGCTTGACATAGCAGGCCAAAACCTCCTCTCTAAGGAGAGGCCTATGTCCAGTAGTGGTTTATTAAAGGCTTTTGATGATGATGTTGAGCAGACGTGTCACCTGGCAAGTGACGTCCGCTATCCATGAACGCCTACAAATCAGGAATCACAATCGCCTATATAGTCCTGAGTATAATTACTTATATTCCTGAGTTTTATGAGATAAATTATACCTCGATTACTGATTACGTACATTAAATAAAGATTATATTTTTTATGATTTATTTACTAATGTATAGAGTTCAGGTGTTACTTCCCAAAGAACAATTTCGAATTCGTAGTTGAGTATAATTTGAGCGTTTAAAATGTAATTCATAGGAAACTAATTCTAGTAAATGTCTACGTTTTTTTTAACTATCGTCTAAGTCAGTAAAACCCCAGGAATACAAAGACAAATATTCTAAACTTATTCGATAATTTTAATTTCCTTTATCAGTTAAGTGTTACCATTTTACTGCATTTTTTTCGAGTAGTAGAAATACTGTCCAATAAAGTGTCTTAATATGGTAATCAGATAATAATTTTATAATTGTAAGTCCTAAATCAATAATTAATGTAGTTTGTGGTGCATTATTAAACGCATTATTTACGTATTTGAAAATCCTGTAGTGGAATGTAAGGAAGTAAAAAAAGCAAAGGTTTTTTGACAACTCTTGACAGACGTTTGCGCTCTGTGTTTACATACAAAGATTAAACGTTTGATGCGACAGGCGGCGAATGTCCGTTGCCGATTATATTAGTTTAGGTTTAGACTTTACAATTCATTACAGGTTGAAATAGGTAATAAATTAAGAAAAAGGAATATACTTATTGGATATTATATATGCAGATGTACATAAGTATAAGATGATTATTTCATGCATCAGACATATTAAAAGTTACATAAAAATATAACCTATGAAAGTTCTACAGCTAGTGGACTATAATAATTCGTTAATTATCTTTTTTTATTTTATTTAAATGGCACACATATAGTTATAATTATCAAATAATTATGTAAAACAATACAAAAACCAATTTTCAACTCATTCAACTCGATACATCCACGCGTTCCCGAGGTAAAAAATACTTTGTACATACATGTATTTCATTGATATATTTACACCCAGACACAGAACAAATGGTCGCGCTCAACACCGAATCAATTGTCTTAGATGGGAATTGAATCAAAATATATAATTATTTTTAAAAATATGATCTCAGAAAGATTAATATGAGTTGACTGATAGAACTGACTGGCCTGTTGGTCTAGTGGTTAGTAACCCTGACTGCTAAGCCGGAGGTCGTGGGTTCGATTTCCACCCAGGACAAATATTTATGTGATGAGCACGATCATTTGTTCTGTGTTTGGGTGTAATTTATCTATAATATGTATCTATTTAAAAATATATAAGTATGTTTATCAGCAGTCCGTGTGACGGATTAAGAATACAAATTGTCACCACCCCAATTCATCCCGTGGGTGTCGTAAGAGCCGACTAAGGGAGCAAACTAAGCAGGACAACAGCACTGCAAAGAGAAGGAAAACTTGAAACAAACCCTACACCAACCCGTCTGGCCAGCGTGGTATAGTAGGCCAAAACCTCCTTTCTAAGTAGAGGCCTATGTTAAGCAGTGGACTAGTATAGGCTGTTGATGTGATGATGATGATTGATGATCAGCAGTCTGGTTACCATAGTACAGGCTCTGCCTAGTTTGGAATCAGACAGCCGAGTGTGAGATGTGTGAGGGTATTATTATTATTATAATTGTAAGTGTGCATTCTCAACGATTCCAGTATTCATTTCTAAGTATTTTTATTGAATGTCTTCATTCCTAATGAATAAAAGAATTCAATAGAAATACTTAGAAAAGAATTATTAAGACGCACCGACACTTCATTAATGATTAATATTATAACATTCTAAGTATTCAAGTAAATTAAAATAGTTCTCGGCAATCTTATTTCTAAGAACATCTGTTATGACATTCAGAATTTATACCTATACTAGCTGACCCGCGCAACTTCGTCTGCGTCTCTCAATAGTAATAAATTTTCTCCGTTTTTGAAACATTCTTCATTGGTGCTCCGCTCCTATTGGGTTTAGCGTGATGATATATAGCCTATAGCCTTCCTTGATAAATGGGCTATCTAATTCTGAAAGAATTTTTCAAATCGGACCAGTAGTTCCTGAGATTAGCGCGTTCAAACAAACAAACAAACAAACAAACAAACAAACTCTTCAGCTTTATAATATTTATACCTATATTATAAAGCTGGTGATTTTGTTTGTTTGGTTGAACGTGATAATCTTCGTAACTACTGGTTCGAATTAAAAAAAACTGTTAGTGTTGGATAGCCCACTAATCTAGGAAGGCTGTATGTTATATGACATAACGGTAACACAAAGAGAAATGTAGTAAAGACGAGGAACATTTTTATTCCTTTCGAGAGATGCAGGTGAAGTCGCGCGGGTCAACTATTTTAAAAATATATTATTTTTTATAAAAGGCAACTCCCGCATTAGGAATATATCCTGTGTCGCGGGGAACTTTACAAACATACATGAAACGAACATAAAGAACACCCAGACTCAGAACAACAATTTGTGAATCACACAAAGTGTCGTCCCATGTGGGGTTTGAACCCACAACACTCGGCCATCCGTGCAGTCAATCAGTCAGCTAATAAATACTTAAGTTGTGAGTCTTGTATTAGAAATACGATAATGCATTTGACTTTATCGTTAGAGGTCGGTGTCGATTCTCGCTCAGTGCAAATAATTTTATACATGAATATGTCAATTTGTAATGTTCTGGTCCATTTCCATTTGAAAATGTATAACTTATCATCAGTTTTGCTTCTTTTTCCAAATTTATTTGAGTTCACATTGTGTGACCTTTGCAAAAGATTTTGGCTGGTTTCTTTTGTGATCAGCCACCTGCTAAATACCAATCCTCCTTGGGAATGTTAATCGTTTTCAGACGGGTCTAAGGAAGAAGTTAAATGGAAGAAAAGATAGCAACGGACTTGTGACGCTTTTGACTTGCAGGTATCCGTGGGCGGCGATAGTCACCTATAATCGAAGACTATAATAAAATACCCCAGGATAATATTTTTTGCATGTTATCGTGTGAGTCGTTTTAGGAGAGCTCCTCTTTCCTCAAAGGCCTGCAACGCGCTTGTAACTCCTGAGCTGCAGGCGTTCATGAGTGGTGGTAGTCGCTTTCTATCAACCCGTCTACTCGTTTGCCCCCTTATCACATTTTCATCAACAGCCTTTAACAGTCCAATGCTTGACACAAGCCTCTCCTTTGAAAGGAGGTTTTGCCCTACCATACCATAAAAAAAATTGAACTGTTGTGATCTTGTGATCATGTGATCTTTTTCTAAGCAACTACCGCCGCCCATGGACACCTGCAACTCAAAAGTCACAAGTGCCCTTGGAGTCCCTCCCGCTCGAGTCAGCGGGAGGGGTATTTGGGCTCCTTTAACCTCACTCACTCAGTGAAAGGCAACGAAAGAATTAAAAATAAAATAAAAAACATGAATGAATTAATTAAAAATCTATGTTTTTTTTAATTTCAGATAACGCTTGCTGGGTTAATATGGGCATCAGCAGTGATTTGCAGTTTACATATTGTGAGAGTAAACATAGACAATACAGAGTATCCGACATGTAAGTATAGCACCTGGGATATGTCCTATTTTAGGGGAAACTTAGTCTAGTCTTGTTTAGTCAATCAGGGCCTCAATTCTGCTATTTTAATGTTGTATCAATAGACTGGTAAAATATTGTTAATCACAGATAATAAATATTGACTTCTAGGTGGCTTCCCGGCGCGAGCGCTTCCCAGCGCTGGGATGGTGCCTTTTCTGCAGTCTTTCCTGTGCTCAGCAGACAACCAATGTTCGTCCCTGGACCAGTACGAAGAAATACCAACGTACGAAAATTCAAAGTGAGTTTATTTGATTATTATAACTACCGACAGTTTTTCCGCATGAGTTGGCCATTCCTCTCTACGCTGACTGATCTTCTTAGAAGTTAAGACTTCTAAGAAGTCAGTCAGCGTAGAGAGGGGTTAAGAGAAGGAACTTTAAAGTTACAACTGTTAATTGCGTTTACTGTAAGAACCATGCTTTGGCGCAAATGGGTCAGTTCACGGCCTCACAAAAAACCGATGTTAAATAAATAACATTTATTAACGCCGTATTCGCCGATAGTTTGTCTATGCTATTCTTATCATTCTTATCGCATCACTATGCATTGTCACTACCTCACAGCATATTTTTCTTTTCTTTCCGACTTCCGTCGAGCGAGCATTGCGATAAGTTATCTTGGATGTTAAATCCTGTACAAATCTTGGGAGTATTTTCTTTAACTACGTTGAAGCCCCAACAATATTATTTTTCGCTGACACATAACGCCATCTAGCTTAAAACTAAGCAGAGATTGAACTACAAAAACTAAATTGACTTATATACTGTTTTTATAAATACATACAATAAAAATAATAATTAGGTTGCAGATGTACGTGGGCATCGGTAGTCACTTACCATCGCGTGACCCGCTTTCTCATTTGACCCCACATCATAAAAAAATCAAAGTTCTTCAATTGTATCTCAAAGTTCTATAAATATTTCTGATAGAGACGCAAGTTAAGGCCAAAACCTCCTTTCTAAGGAGAGTCTTATGTCCAGCAGTGGACTAGTAAAGGCTGTTGATGTGATGATGATGATGATGTGACACAAGTTAAAAATTATAAAGTATATTAGTAATTTTTAGTCGGATTATAAATTCAGTGGCTTCTATAACTAGATGCCAAAATATTAGATTCATTAAAAATATATGGTGTGGTTTCCAGGTTAACTAAAGTTATGCGAAGAATGGGACCTTTTCTGAATGAGTCCACGCTGGAAGTGGCGTCATCAGTTCCTGATGCTCTCAAACTCGTCAGTACATTAGCGGACACAGTTGATGAGCCAACCTTCGTTAAGATTAGTAGTAAGTAGCATAAACGCTAAGTGTCACTAATCATTAATTATTTTATGGCAAAATATAATTGCCGTTGCTCAAGTGAAAATGTGCAGCACCATCTGTTATCGAGTAGCGAAAAGTTTGAGAAAAATAAAATATACTCAAATGTTTTAAAGTTTGTCAGGTTATTAATCGATATTGCAGAAAAGTTCAAGACCCTTCATAGATTTCCTATAAGATAAGGGCGAATTATATAAAAGGACTATCATCCGCTAGCAAACATTGTAGTTCTGCGATACAACAGATAAAATTTAAATACTTTATCTACAGTATCGAAGTCACATTGTGGCTGCTACTACGCGTGTTGTGGGTTCGATCTACACATGGGAACCCAATTTGTGTAATCCACAAATTGTTGTTCTGAGTCTGGATGTTCTTTGTGTTCGTTTCATGTATGTTTGTAAAGTCCCCCGCGACACAGGATATATTCTTAGTGCGGGAGTTGTCTTTTTAATGAAAAAAAAAACATTCAGTAGAATAGAATATCAGTGATTTTTTTTATTTATTGTGAATTATTGTGTTTGTCGTAATTATTAAAAAAAAGGTGTTTTTTTGTGTAAAAAAACGGGAGTATTGATTCTATTAATTAAATTTAGAGTTCATTAGACAGTAAATTCAATACTGAGTCACATAATTAATGGTAATTATGACTATGACGACTGTTAATATACAAGTAATGAGGATAGAGACATTACTTTAAAGTTAAACAAAAACATAGCCGTTATAATGGTAACCAATCTGTTGATTAACATACTTCTATATTTCTAAATACTATAGATAAATCAATTCATATTATAGATAATTTTTTTTTTTTTTTTATTGAAAAGACAACGCCCGCATTAGGAATAAATCCTGTGTCGCGGGGGACTTTACAAACATACATGAAACGGACACAAAGGACACCCAGACTCAGAACAACAATTTGTGGATCACACAAAGTGTCGTCCCATGTGGGGTTTGAACCCACAACACTCGGCGCAGTAGGAAGCGGCGTGGCGACCGCTTAAACCACTACGCCATCCGTGCAGTCACACAATTACACCCAAACACAGTACAAATGATTGTGCTCATCACACAATACTGGTTCTGGGTGGGCATCGAACCCACGATCTCTGGCTAAGCAGTCAGAGTCAAAATTGTTGAAATCTCGGACAGATGTGAAGGTTACATTCTATATGTTTAAATAGATTTAATAAAAAGCAAATTTTATAAATTTTCAGAAAATGGTCTGCACGTGGAGGATCTGTTCATAAAACCGATAAGCGTCAAGAGATTCCTTGGTGAAAAGCTGGGTCTGGACGACAGCATCATGGAGAGTATTATGACTGCTGAACTTAGTTTCCAAGGTGTAAGTTTGTTTACATATACACCATTTTTCCATGATAGGCCGATACATGAACCCGCAACTTCTCCATATCCTCAAATACCTCTTGAAATTCTTCTTCTGTTAACCTTTATTGGTTAAAGAACGTACTGTTATATTCCTTTTAGAGAGGAACTCGATTCGAAAGTTACAAATCTTAACATCGCATAGACCATTTATGTTGTATAGGTACAGATTGTTCCTTGTTCCTAAAACACAAAGAGACTTAGAGTCGTCTATGTCGATCTTGAGCTTTATCAGGATCTAGATAGATCTAACCTAACGCTATCGCTATCGAATTTGACGTGTAGTGACGGATTAAGAAGACGGAATGTCACTACCCCAATTCATCCCGTGGGTGTAAGAGCCGACTAAGGGAGCAAAACAACGCAAGACACCAGCACTGCAAAAAGATGGAAAAAGTGACACAAACCCTATACCAACCCGTCTGGCCAGCGTATACTACCACCGTTGGTATAGGGTTTGTGTAGGCCAAAACCTCCTTTCTAAGGTGAGGCCTATGACCAGCAATGGACTATTAAAGGCTGTTGATGTGATGATGATGATGATGTGATCGAATTTCTTCCTTCTTTCTTTTCTTAATTGGTATTTGTATCTGCAACAAACCTCCATCTAGTAAAGCAGGACTCTCTGCCTCCACCAGGAGGCGGTAAATTACATTATGTGTACTTTATCTGATGAATGTAACAACGTGACGAAACGCAAATATAACTCCTTTTGAAATATTCTAATGTTTAGATCAGAAGCAACGCGAGGCCATATAATAATGCAAATGTGTTCAAATCTCTCATTTTTCTTGCAGCTTCTCAAAGGTTCCATCGACAGATGCAGCGTAGAGTCACTTTCTAAGACATTGGTAATGGAGAATCCTGAACACCTAAGTATATTAAAAGGAAAACTGTGTGCTATGTCTCCAGAAGAATTGCAGAAGATCTTCATTAATATATTGCCTGAACTCGACTACAGCAAATACATGACTATGGTGAGAGAAATGATAAGACTCTATTTATTTTGTCCTAATATTTTTCTTGAGTTGAGACCGCGTCTCCGCAAACTCAGTGTAGGAAGTCCACATGCCAAGTGGAGTGACGATCTGCGCAAGATAATTTGCAGGAGCTGGATGCGAGAAGCCGATAATCGATCTAAGTGGCGTGCAATGGGAGAGGCATATGTCCAGCAGTGGACTGCGATAGGCTGATGATGATGGGAGGCAAACAAGCAGTTGTGTCACCTGATGCCTATGGACACTTACAAACAAAAGTGCGTTACTGTCCTTTGTGTAGATGGTTCAGGGTTTGGAGCTCCGGTAACTTCGCTCACTCGGTAGAAAGCAACCGAAGAATTTCGCCGGTTTTCTGTGAGGCCGTAGTACCATAAAGGTCGAACTGGTACATTTGTGCCGAAACACGGCTTTCCCGTGGTTAATTGCTGATAAAAAAGCAAATTAAGAATTTGAAGAACCATATTCAACGGAGCAGACTTATTCCCTCCGCTAGTTTTATACATTTAAATGAGAAATCGTGTTTGAATTTGTACGTAAAGAAATTTCAAAGCAAGCAATATTTAAAATATATATATTTTTCCAGCTAGGTGACATGTATAGTAAATTATCTGGTGACAACAGAATAATTTTACTTGGAGACATGTTGACTGCCGTGCTGCGTATGATGAACCTGCAGAGTTTCCTTCCTCCGGAGCTGATATCTATATTTAATGGCAAAGAAGTAGATTTTAGTTACATACAGCTAACTTTGTAAGTAATATTTCGACTGGTCATAAAACTCAAGAATTTCTAAATTCCTAATTTTTTTTACTACCGCCATATTTGTTTCAGAATACCAAAGATAATGGAAAAGTTCAAACCAATATTTGGTGACACTCAATCTTATGGAATACTGCGGAATGTTGCAGACGCTTTAGTTGTAGGACTTCAATATTTAGACAAATTATTTAAGAAAATGCGAGTTAAAGAATTAGATGGAGGTTTAACTCCATCTAATATTAATATATTTGACCCAAAAAGTGGAATGGAAGCTATATCAAATGCATTAAACCATGCTTCAGATGTTTTCGAAGAAGCTATCCAGGAAGATACGTCTTTTGATGCTTTTACAGCGTAAGTTAATGTCTCAAAAATTTATGAACATGCTAATTAATGAAAAAAAAAAAACAAAACACCCAAACGCGTGAAAATGTATCGATACATAAAGACGGTGATGTTTAGTTTTATAATTTTCATATACACAATGTCAAGTTAAAATCCATCGAAAAAAAAACCCCTGCCGCACTGGCAGTCGGGTAAACAAAATTTACTAGAATAGAAAGTTTCAAAACAATAAACAAAGATGTATAAAGGATGACGATGCTCAGTTTCTTTATGATAATCCTTACATCGTCACCAATAAAGATAAATGTGTGCCTTAATTGACTTCCTTAGGGATTTACAGATTTAATCACAGTACTTATATTTTTGTTATATTCCAGTTTAACCTACATGATGAATTTCGTCACCAAATTTCTATCTGCCAATACAAAACACGACGTATTGTTCTACTCGACACTTCTCTCCAAACTTATTGAAAGTGCGTCAAGAGTAATTGATATCAACATGCATATTGAATCGTTGACCTACAATGTTACCCTGCAGCATCCCGGAGCTGTCAGAATCTTACAAGGAATGAAACCTGAAATAATAGGAAGCGCTTTTGAGGGCTTGGCAGATGCTGAAAGAGCTCAGGTCTAGTGTTACTTATTTCATTGAATATGTTTGTATTTCGCTCTATTTACATAAATAAATATGGTATTCAGTTATAAGATACCTGGATCAAATGTTAGCCACTATTCCCCGCTATTCACTTAAAAAGATAACTCTAATTTAAAGGATATAGTCTTTAACAAGAAGACAGAATTAATCTGATTACTAGATAACAAAGATAAATAATTGAAGTTTTAAGATTTTTCTAATAAATTATTTTCTTTCCAGATTTTGACATCAAAGATCAACTCACCAGAAAAGATGTTTTGCAATGTTGACAAATTAAAACAGTTTTTAAATATCGCTGACGTAATAGAAATTGAATTACTGAAGAAACAACTGTGTACTGATGTTTGGAATAGCTACATTACAGACATGATCCAGGCGTTTGGTGTTTCTGACGTCAAAAACAATGTGAATATTCCTTAATTCACTATTAATTGAAAGTACCCTACTGCAAAAAATAATTTCATAACTTTACTGAAATTTATTTTCTAGATCAATCGCATGGCTTCTCTCCTGATCCAAGAAACTCTTGGTAAAGATACCAGTAGCCAATTATATACTATTGAACAAGACTTCCAGATCTTGAAAAACTTTACAGAAAGGCTTATGACATTGGATTCGGAAAATAAACCCAAGGCAGACTGGGAGAAACTCTTGAACATGAGTTCGGACTCGGAGTTCATGAAGATGATCAGAAGGAAGGGTCACCTTGGGAAACAAATGCTGTAAGTAACAATAAATCACAATAGATCTATAATTATAATTTTAAGTCTGAGTAAAATAAAATAAAAACTGAAACATTTTAGTTAAAGTGGTGTCCAAATTTATTTTTAGTATAGTCCTCCATGGAGCCCTTGGCAAAGAAATAGTTCAGCAAAATGGTCTTTTAGACTTCAAGATCTCACCATACCTGGATAACGTAATTGCCTTAACTTCCGGCATCAACGAACAGCTGGAACTTACTCCGGTTGATGTAACTGATCTCATTAAGGATAATTACTACGGAATTGTGATGACTATGATGAGGACTGCACTCCAAGAGGAAAAGGTATGGAAAGACCCATCATATGTCCGAATAATTAATAAATAAGACTATTATTATATTTCGCGACTTATAATTTACTTCCAATCAATCTAATTAAAAATCAAAAGTAGCTTGATGCTGAGGTATCTTCAAAATTCTAACGTTGTCCCTAGCAGTTATCGTGTTTATTAGATTCAATACAAAAATATCAGTGTTAGATCTTTAAAGATATACCCTTCTGTCTTTCTCTACTCATTCTGTTCCCGATACAATGTAAACGTTCACTAAAGCACTTCTGTTTGAATCTTTGAATCTTTTTATCTAAACTAGAAATACATATAGTGAAATAAGAATATACGGATAATCACTGGCTGCCTCAAGCCGACCCCGGTACAGATGCTGTATCCACTGGCAGGCATAGCGCCACCAGTGGTTCGCAGAGCGGTGGCGAGCTCTAGTGAAAGAGCCAAAATGGTCTCCGACGCTAGACACCCTCTACACAATAACATCATAGTACCGCAAAGGCTGTAAAGCCGCAACAGCTTTTTAAAGTGTGTACCCCCGCTCACTGGTGAACGCTCTAAGGAAAGACTTAAGTTGTGGCAAGATAGCGTTTCCTTACCCAACCCATTTGTGCCACTTGCCGAAAATCTTCCACCTGGACACGAGTTGCCATGGCTGACCTGGAAGTCTCTAAACAGACTCCGGACACAGGTAGGCCGAAGCAAAGAAAACCTGTTCAGGTGGAGATTCATAGATGACTCTGCCCTGGAGTGTAAGTGTGGTCTTGCCCCACAAACTATGGGGCACTTGATATCGTGTCCAGCCTGTCCTGTTACTTGCACATCACAGGAACTGATGGAGGCTACTGAAAGTGCCGTACTCGTTGCCAAATTTTGGGCCGACTCAATTTGAATTGTCATCGACACGCTAAGAAGAGAAGAATGCGGACGGATACGAGAGTCAAAAATATTCTTTACATATTAAGCAGCAATTCCCTGTGCAAGGAAAAGACTCATATTCTTCTTTATCAGTCGCTTTACTAGTTAACGAGCTCTCAGACCCCAGGACTCTAACATACTCGAGCTCATGATGGCTCCAAAATATAACCAGCGATTAACTTCTGTTTACATTTCGTGCTTTTGTTTCTCATTCAACCAACAATTTACTCTAAAGAATCCAAAAATAAAGATTAGAGATTTAATTTTATTGTTACTTTCCAGACATACAAATCACTGTCGACTCCTGGTCAAGAGATCATGTGTAATGACGTGGAGACTGCGAGACAATACTTAGAACTACCAGAAGATGCAAATGAAGCTGCAGAAATCGTCATGGCTCTCTGCAATGCTACTATTATAATAGAAAACGGTCTAAGTGAGGATTCTGCAGTAACCAAAGCTGTATGTATTATTGCCTGTGCTTTTATTCGTAAGACCATCTCTGGGGAAAATATTAACTAACTTGCAACTAGAAATTACGAATTAGAATTTCATGAGACAATGAATAATAATAATAATAACCTCACACATCTCACACACGGCTGTCTGATCCCAAACTAGGCAGAGCCTGTGCTATGGTAACCGAACTGCTGATAAACATACTTATATATTTCTAAATACATACATATTATAGATAAATTACACCCAGACACAGAACAAACGATCGTGCTCATCACACAAATATTTGTTCTGGGTGGGAATCGAACCCACGACCTCCGGTTTAGCAGTCAGGGTCACTAACCACTAGACCACTAGACTAGGCCCGTCCAATAACATCATCATCATCATCATCATCATCATCATCAACAGCCTTTAATAGTCCACTGCTGGACATAGGCCTCTCCTTAGAAAGGAGGTTAACAATAACATACATAATAACAAATACATAAATTACTCTTCCAATCGATAGGCTGCGTTACTTAATTGCCATCGTCATAATCATTACCTTGTTAAGCATTTCTTAATTTTATACATTGCGCCGACCTCAAAGAACAAATGGAACAAAAGACTGAAAAGTGTAGTTTGCTTGCTTTTATGCCTAGCCCCCCGCCTGACTGAGCCTTCCTTCTTAAGTACTTAATGCTTATAGGTAGAGGGGGTTAGGGTGAAGATTTCGGCAGGTCTTAAATGGGAAACGGGAAACAATTGAATCGTGTGTTATGAAACACAAAGTTTTTTTTTTTCAGATAAAAGCATTCAAATCTTCTGCTACTTTACTGGGAATAGATTGGATCAAGCTCATTAACAATCTAAAGACTCTATATGTAAATCTCGATACTGACTATACGTATGTGTTTAACTTCTCAAATTATGGCATGGATAAGACGATGAAAGAAGATTTGGACAGATTGTATAATATGGCCAAGGATTACTGGTTTGGTGTTGCAAACGTCGAAAGGGGTTTACGTTTAAGGTAATTCAAAGAAATATAACAGTTCTATCTACTCTAACCTAGATCTTCAAGATTATAAGATGCTCAAGACATTGTTTTATGGTATAAAGGGACAAACAAGCTTTCCAAAAAAGGAGGGGATGGGAGGGACGTATCTCACCTCATCTACGACTTGTAGATGACAAGTCGTAGATGACCCGAGATACGTCGGGGTACTAGGGATTTCCTTTCTAGGGTACATCTGGTTCCCCGGCTACTGGTTCCCGAGACAACGTGCGGTTTAGCCGGTTCGAGTCCCCTAGCACCCCACTAGTGGGTGGTATCCGAGGGGATTTCCGCACGGAAAAAAGGGCGGGTCAAACAAGCAGACGGGACAATCGTCTACTAAGAGACTATCTTTTCTTTTGTATAAAGTGTTTGAAAATTAAAGTATATTTGGTCAATTTTCCTTTATTAATTACGCTAGAAACGCTAAAATAATTAAATATATTTATTCCAGTATGAAGTTAGCCCTTCGTTTCCTGGACCTTCTGGACCACGATTTATTTGGAGTGATGAACGAATACTGGCTAAAGATAAAATACGCTATAAATATCTCAGCAGGACCAATGGACGTATTTGCTGAATCGATTCACGTAATTGGAGGTAAAGTACTATTTAAAGAAAGACGGATATTCTGAAGCAGTTTAAGTTTTCGGAAGTTGTGAGCTAGTTCCTCATATCATTATCACATCATCATCAGCCTATCGCAGCCGACTGCTGGACATAGGCCTCTCCCATTGCACGCCACTTAGATCGATTTTAGATCACATAAATAGCCTTTAATAGTCCACTGCCGGACAACTGCCGGACATAGGCCTCTCATTAGAACCTATACCACGCTTGCCAGACGGGTTGGTATAGGGTTTGTGTCAAGTTTTCCTTCTCTTTGCAGTGCTGTTGTTCTGAAGTTTGCTTCCTTAGTCGGATCTCACGACACCCACGGGATGAATAGGGATGGTTTCATTCCGTATTCTTAATCCGCCACCACACACATTCTTTGGAGTTAGTTCTTGACAGGTCACAATTTTATGTGTATAGATCACATAATATATGTGTATATGTATTACGTTTCAAATTAACACAAGATTAATTATAATTAATCTTTATGTATCTATGGCCTATTATTTTTTATATAGAAACATTGGAGCTCTGCTTAGTTTGACACTAGAAACTAGTTAGATGTCTGAAATATTATTATTATTATTTATTGCCTTTGTTTCAGCCCTCCTTACAAACAAGATGTATAGCGGAGATCTACCTCCTAAAACAGTGGATATTCTTAGGAGGCTAATACCAAATATCCCCCAACTGACCGTTGAAGCTGTGGACATCATAAAATCAGACGATATAGAGGTAAGTAATTACAACATAATTAAACCTTTTTAGGGTTCCGTACCTCAAAAAGTAAAAAAGGAACCCGTATAAGATTGTTCTTGTCCGTCTTTCCGTGTGTCGCCACCGATTCTCTCAGGAACGGGTAGACCTAGCAAGTTGAAATTTATACCAGATACTGAGGACTATGTTCCCTATTAGATGTATAAAAATCAAGGTCCTGACTCAACACGATAAAAAGATATGGGCAAATTTCTATTTTTGCGAAAACTTGTAAGTACCAAAATTTACCTTAATTTACAACTTCTTTTATTTTTCACAATTTTCTCTTTACTTGGGCTGTAAGACCTTGCTTTTAACCAAAATTGACAATTCTAGGTAAACTGGAAGTACCCTATAGGTTTTGGGTCGAAAACCTATATGGTAGTTCCCGTTGACCTAGAATCACGAAAGGCAAAAAGAAACGTCTTACAGCACAAATTAAGCAATACTTCTAAAAATAAAAAAGTTGAAAATTAAGATAAATTTTGGTACTTATAAATTAAGGCAAAAATCTACATAAAATTTGGGTAGGTTACCCTACCTACCCTACCCTAGGTAAACTCAAACTCAAATTCTCTTCATTTCATAAAATTTTTAAAATTGTTTGAAATCGTCTTTTATGTAAACTCTAAAGTCATAAATCAACACACACAGAAGCAACAATCTCTCTTTTGTCAAATAGTAAGCAAATAAATTTAACAAAAATCAAATCCATACAAAATCTATGATATGCCTGTGCCGATCTACAACCGCCCGTTTCCAAGGGGTTGAGCCTTATAAGATGAAGGTGGGTACGGAACCCTCGGCGCACGAGTTCGAATCGTACCTAACCGGTTTTTTTTTGATGACATTTTAAGATAAATTTCTTATTTATATATTATTAATAATAATTCGCCATAGTATTATTCTACGTTATTTGTAAACTGATTTAGAAAAAAAAGGTTCAGGCTAGGCTTCATTAAAATTTGACTAAATATCTCTCTATAATCTCGGCAAAGAAATTTATAAATGAAGAATACAACTTCTTTAAATTTGTTATAATTTTAACAGCCTTTAATAGTCCACTGCTGTTGATAAGCCTCTCCTTGGAAAGGAGAGGCCTATGTCTCCATGCGCATTGCAAGCAATAAATCACAAATACTTGTTGAAAGTAGATTATTTCACATATCATATTATTATGTCATATAACATTCTCTTTTAAGAGAAAACGGCCACTTCATTTGTCATTACATCTAATTTCCAGATACAACCAATAATATCGCTCATGAACTTGAACCCCCCTTGGCCATGCTCTTCAATGAGTTTATCAGAACTACTGGAGTTGTCACAAAACTCAACAGAAGCAGTAAGAAGCGTAGAAGCGATATTTTGTATAAACGATGAGATTCAACAAGAATGGAAAGAATATCTAGCTCAAAAGAATTTCTACGTTCCTGTAAGTTTTAGCTACGATTTTCTTTTTTGTAAAAACCCTCGTAACTTCAAATAAAGAGCATATTTATTTGTTTAGGTTAAAGGATCATCCGCATGGAATAGAACCGACTACCCACCAAACCTTTTCCTCAAGTTTTCTTCCAATATAGACTCCTTGATTCAGGATATAGTGATCGTGAGGGAGACTCTGAACCATGTTTTTAATGATAGCAAGGATGGTCATTTAGGATTGAAAGAAGCTTGGAAGTACGCTGTTGATACCTTCAATACTTCTGATAGGGATGTTATATTACGGTAAGCTTTATTTGACATAATCCATGTACTCAGAGATGAATATGTAGAAACGAAGCAATATTATTAGCAATTCTGTGAAAACCGCTCACTTAACTAGGATAAAGGGCATTCTTTTTTATCGTTTTTTCATGTTTAAAAGACAACGCCCGCATTAGGAAAATTTCCTGTGTCGCGGGGGACTTTACAAACATACATGAAGCGGACACAAAGAAAACCCAGACTCAGAACAACATTTTGTGGATCACACAAAGTGTCGTCCCATGTGGGGTTTGAACCCACAACACTCTGGCTGAAAATTCTCTGAACATAACTTTTAGCTAAATATACCAACCCTTTTAAATGTCCACATCCTAAAAAACAATCACACCTCATCTCTTCAACTTCAACTCTTCTTTTCCCTTGCACCAATTTATGTTAGTTATTCGTTTGTCTTGATGAAAACAAATACATTCCCAAGAGCTGACGTTAAACGTTGAGTTTTCTAGGGCCTCCCCTGGGATAGGGCCTGACTAGGCATGGTGTCAATTCGGGGAGGACCTGAAATAACATGGTCCGGGTCCTCCCAGAGTAGGGCACCTGAGGCCGGCCGTCGGGGTGGTTTTTAGTGGAATCACCACATACTCCTAGCTCCTAGCCCCGAGGAGCAGGAGATCCGAAGGGATTTTCCATCCCGTCAACAAAAAAAAAGGGCCAGTTATAACTTGCGCTGAGATATACTCGTAGTTAAAACATAAAACGCTGCTCTTAATTTAGTTTTTTTTTTATAAAACGACGTCATTGTATAAAACTTCGTAGTTTAAATATGTAACTTATTTTGGCAGAAATTTTTTCACAAAGATTGACACAGTCCTGGATTCTGTGAACACTTCATCTATCGCCAGCAATGTCTCTACTAGTCATCTTTGGGAGGGATTTGTCAAGTGTAGCCAGGAGTACATTGATGAAGATTGCAGGATGTTAGGAAGAAAGTCTTGGAAGTACTTCTTCGAATCCTTGTCAGTGATCCTGGAGAGTGTTGCTACAGATTTGCTGACGTACTTTAAGGAAATTAATGGTAAGGTTTTAGTGGACAAAATCTATATGCGACTTAGCTCGAACTCGAGCTTTTTGCAAATACTTGAGGTATCCCTTGAAGTAACCTTTTTGTAAATGAAATGGCTTCTTGCAATACCAACTTTCATGCTATTCAGAAATAGATAGTTGAAAGCGTAACAAACAAAGAAACTAACTCAATTTTACATTCGTATAAATCATTATAGCATGAATGTAACTCAAACACATCTTAACACCCATCCTGAAATCACCTAGACACGTTTCTTTATTCCTAACAGTTATTTATAATAATAAAACATTGAAGAAGTAGTTCAAATATTTTTGCTGGTATAATAATTATCTATGGGTATAACAGTTTTCTTCCGCACTTATGTTGAGCTACAACCTCAACCAGGGCCTGGCTAAGCTATTGTCGTACACCATACAATAATTTCATATTTTGTTATGTCGTTTCAAAGTGTGATAAGTTACTGCATTTAATTAGATAAAAACAATGGTTTTGAGACTACCGTCTTTTGTCGAGGTCGAGTCTCAATAGCTGGTATTCTTTGTATTAGATCTTTTTAAGTTTACAATTCATTTCAGAACCGAACGCAAATTTGCTGCAGCTAGTAGGCTTCAACAGGAACACAGGCCTGTATACTTTGTATGACAAGTTGCCGGACTTCGTCGGAGTCCTACTCAACTCTTACTGGGACTTTGGTTTTATGAGTCAGGTGAGGTGAAAAATAATCTGAGTAAATAAATTTGGTGAAAGATGTTAAATAAATAACAGGTAATTTACCTTAAAAGAAGTTTTGTACAGGAAATTGAATTATTGAATAATTCCTTCAAACTACGTTATTATTATCTGCAAATGTTAAAACATATTTTTTTTTCGTTGATTTCTTTGATCTTATACCAAATCTGAACCACTAACAAAATACTAGAATCATCATATCAAATACTAGAATTAATAAATTATTTTTTTATGTTTTTTTTTTACATTCTTATCCGTCGTTCAGATCCGTCGTGCGTCGTTTTCTAAGTTTTGGGACTGTAATGCTATCGTCTCGTCGCTGGTTCCACCGCCAGGTAGCGTCATAGACGAGGCCAGCATAGAGAAAGTAAAGCCGTTCATATGTCCGACTCTACTGCACTGGCTATCTGTACCAAGAGGAGAAAACACGCTACTTGATGTATTTTCAAAACCTGTAAGTAATCTAATTCCATTATCGTTACGGATCTTTGCAATTTATACAATAAATCGTTTGAAAAAACTAATAGTAATTTCGATACACCGTGGGAAAGCCATGCTACGGAACACATGAGCCGGCTCAACTGTAGTGATAGTGGTATCACACTGAGGCTTAATGCCTCACTGTGTTCGTGGCAGCGGTAGTCCATCCAGTACAATACAGTACTATCCAGTACCATCAAGTGACCCGTCTGGTAGGCCAAAACCTCCTATCTAAGGAGAGGCCTATGTCCAGCAGTGGACTATTAAAGGCTGAATGAATGAGAAAATTAATCTTAACTCTAATTTGTTTCCAGCAATACTTTTTCTACACACTCCAAGTTCAAAATATCACTAGTAGATACGCAAACGCTTATATGAAGGCAGTCGAACTAGCTCAGTTAATCACAGATATTTCCAAAAAGAATCAAACTGTGCTAACAGAAGAAGATATCAAAATTAATAGTATTGAAGGAAAACTTGAAAAAACTGTTGATAAAGTACTTACGTATAAAATGAACGCCAGTGACTTTAGCTACCGAATTTTCACTACAATTAATTATAAACAATTTAGAGCCGGTATTTATTTAACAAGAATAGTTGCTATAGTCAATAAATTATACGAAAATATAAAGAACATTGATGTAAAAAATACGTTTAAAGGGACTGATGAAGAACTAAAAGACCTACAAGCTGATATAGATATTATAAAATATTTGTTTAAGAGGAAAGCTGTAGATGCAATAAACATTCATTTTAATGCTATTACAGATATTTTAGTAAAAAATAACAAAGACTATACTTTAGTAGAATCTATGTATGACATATGTGAAGATATAAAATCGAATATTAGTAGAACCATTATAAGTATGGATGAAAAAATAGTCGGTCAATTATGTAGTAAGAAATATGAAGTGATATACGGAGCTATTCAAAACAGCTTAGTTGAAGACTATCCAGAAGCCAGATATAGTTTAATGGCTCTCGTCGACAGTTTGCAAAATAGTGATAATTTTGTTGAAGATATATTTGGATTCCTTAATAATAGGTAAGATTATATTATACACAATTATCTCTTTAAACGTTTTAAAATAACGGTAAGTAAAATTCATAATAGCAAAAATTACATTTACAATAGGAGATACCCGCAGACCAAGGAAATTGAAACGGCGTTAAGGTGGTGTCCAATGCTACACTCCATTATAAAGGGCCACATTTTTTGCTCGTAACTAGTTTAGCCCATATTAAACTTAATTGTCAAATGTTACATTACAGAACAGAACTTATAAAGGCCTTACAAACTTCCATAAATCACTCCTACGACCTCGGTATTCCGGTATATCTGAAGTACCTACAATCCAATATACAAGCCTATGGAATCGTACTAAGTTTCCTTAGTGGGAATGATTGGTGGACTGAATTGAGAACAGTATACAATGGCCCTTATACTGAAAAGTTTTTTGCTTACGTGGAGAATAGTTTCGAGGTTATTGAAAATCTGATGACGAATTTAGACGACATACATGTAAGTAGAAGTTTGTTTTGTTGAAATGAAATGAAAGGAAATGAAATGAAATGAAATTAAATGAAACGATACTTTAATTGCAGAAATATGGTACATGGGCTGTTTATAGTTATTAGAAGAGAATCACATATTTGTCAGTCTGTTCTGACATGCAAAATTTTAAACGTACATGCAAATTATAACAACAGATTGATTTAATAACAAACTACTAAGCTCATGTCAATGAATAATTTATATAATGTCAAATATATAATTGCCATGTCAAATTTTTCAATTTGTTAATTTATTTCTAACTAGCTGACCCTGCAAACGTTGTTTCGCTATTTCCATTATTTAATTATTATTATTTTTTGTTGAATTTCTTAAAATCCGTTCTTAGCTGACCTCTACTCGGTGAAAAGAATATTCCTACCAAATTTCAAGTCTTTAGCTCTAATGGTTCCAGAGATATCGTGATGAGTGACTATATACGTGGAAATCTCTTATATATACAGATATAGAACACAACATACAATAAAATATTATCAGCTGTTTTTGTAATTATTGCTCGTTTAGGTATTCGGTTACTGAGTCTATCATTTGTTCGATTTTTATTTTTAATGTTAGAGAGGATAGACGAGCAGACGTGTCACCTGATGGAAAGTGATCATCGCCGCCCATGAACGTCTGCAACTCAGGAGTCACAAACGCGTTGCCGGCCTTTTAGGAAGGTTTGAAGGTCGTATCGGTCCGCAAATAAAGCAGACGATAACCCGTTTTTTGTCTTAGCAGTCAGGATTGTTAACCAGGCCAGAGGTCATTCAAACAAAATCACTTAACCGCGTACTTTTTTTTACATGAGAAGTCCCAGAATGATGGTCTGCATGTAACAATTCAGAAGTGAACTCTTGATAAAACCAATTTTCTCTTAACCAAATTCGTTCGTTTTTAGATAGTCCGTTTACTACGGGAGATAAATGTAAACGATACAGATTCATTCTGCCAACCGAACATCGTGTTGTCGGATTATTTGCCTGACTCTACCGGCATGTTCACGGACATGAAGAATCAAATCTGTAATAAGGAGAAGTCAGAACTATATAAAGAGTTACCGCCTTTGCTGTTCGCTTCACAAGTAAGTATTTCCTTATTTGAATGCCTTCCTGATTAGCCAAGATTGGCAGTTAGCTTGGTATACTCATTCTTATCCTTTGCGAGTCAAGAGGGATAAATAGATTATTTTAGTCCTAACAAATCACCTGTAATTGCAAACAGCAGTACCACTCCTTAAAACTGGATTATACGCTTTAAGAACCAAAAGACGAGTTCAATGCGTCTAAATTGTGGCAATTCGAATTAAGCTAAGTACATGGTTCCGTAATAAAACATAATGACTCCGTACCCTAATTAAGAATCTCTTTTTTCTTAAGTAAACTAAATTACAAGGCCAAGAATACTTTTGTTTACCTGTATTAAGTTGTAACTTAAGTAACCTATAGCAAAAATCATGAGTATGATCCATAAATATAATTTAAAGTTTCGTGAAGATCTGATGTCATAATTTTTTTGGAATAGGGGGCAAACGAGCAGACGCTTCACCTGATGGAAAGCGACTACCGCCGCCCATGAACGCTTGAAACTCAGGAGTCACAAGGGCGTTGCAGCCTTTGAGGAAGGAGTACGCTCTTTTCTTTGAAGGTTTCTTCTGATGTCGCTAATTCAGTACTATCAAAAGTTTTATCCTCTTCTTTAGGGCTTGGACAGTTCACTAAAAATATCAAAGGTGATCGACTATACCACTTTGAATACGAATGTGTCAATGGTAGAATCAAGATTGGATCTAATTAAGGAAGGACCCAAAGTTCCACTATATCCAGGATGGGTGACTGAAGAGAAATTACAGCACCTTAGGAAGGTAGCTCTTGGGTTGCTGTCAAAGCAATCATTAACGAAGATGGGATTTGCCGTTTTGAGCAATGGTGTCGATGCTGCGACTTTGTTCCTTAGCGGAAGGTAGTTATCAATTTCCTTAAATATATTTTAGCCTGCGTTCGCCCATTGGTTTCAATTCGATAAAAAATATATTTAAAAAATATTTATTTAAATCTTGTTTGTCCATATCTGGAGATCCCGTCTAATCGCAAGACGTCTCATTCCCTTTTTCCCATCTTCGACTTCAGTATCCCACTCCCCAATGCCCTCGTCTGGTCCGTTTTCAGGGTTCCGTACCTCAAAAGGAATAAACGGAACCCTTATAGGATCTCTAGATGGCGCTGTCTGTCAAGAACCTTTATCTCGCTAACGCGTAGAGGTATCGAGTTGAAATTTAAACCATATACTCCTGTCTAACGTCCCTTGAAGCTGTGGAAAACATTAAACTTCTAAGTTAACGTAAAAAAAGATACGGCCGTTTATGGCGCAAAAAAAGCAATTTCGACACTCCCAAGGGAATCAAAATTCATAGGGTACTTCCCGTTGGCCTAGAACTATGAAATTTTGCAAGTAACATGGTCTCATACTACAAATACATCGAAAAATCTGAAAACTATACATTGGTAAAAAATATAGTCTTTATTTAAAGTACGTAATTAATCATCGAGGTGGAATTTCCCTTATAAAAAACAATAATATAAGTAATTATACGGTTTGAAAACTGAATTTCGGGAAAAGCTTAGAAAAAACTTCGAGTCTCGATTACTGAACTATTTATAAAATGTATCTACAAATTTGTACGGAACCTCGTAGTGGGTGAGTCTAACTCGCACTTGTGCGGCTTTTTCTACCCCAATTCTACTTCTACGTTTATCCCGTCTAAAACCATATTACACTCCCATAGAGGGTCGGCGTCAGGCACGCGCGCCTTGATGTATAAGTACCCGGTAAAACTCTTCATAAAGTCACACGTAGCGCCAACCCCTAATAAAACTGCACTTCTACTTAAAAGTGCTTAACATCCTTAAATGCTTTGTCACATGCAAGTGCACGTTTCTGAACAACGCACTTTCAATTTCATTAAATATATAAATAGAATCTGGACATTTTATATCCATCCCTAAGGTTCAGTCTATCTCTCTATTGAAAATCATCAAGATTGGTTTAGCAATAAGGCGAAAAAAAGGAGAGACAGAATTTCTTAGATTTCTAATTATTTTTGCTTCTACTCTTTTTTATCATCTACTTATTTTCAAAGTTTTATTGAAAGAAAACTCAGGCTAAGCTCATCTTGGTACCATACTAAACTCGGTTCCAAAAAATAACGGGTCAGTCACATAAACCCGAATATCTCCCGAACTACGTATGCCATCCTAATGAAACGAAGACTGTTCAATTGAGAATTTAATTATACAGATAAAAAATAAAATAAAACTTAAATCTAAACTCTCTAACTCTTAACTTATCTCTAAATTAAAAAAAAAAAAACTAAAGTAGTCATATTTTTCTTAAGATTACATTTTTTTATGATTGTTTTTTTGCTGTTTTTCATCACTTTCTTCATTTAATACTTTATATTGCCTCCACGAGCTCTTCTGACAGCTTCCAGGCGATTAGGCATGCTGTACACCAAATTTCGGAGCCGGTGCTGAGGAATACCTTCCCATTCCTCCACCAGTGCTTGTTTGAGCTCGGGAAGCGTGATTGGTGGGGGGTTTCGACCTTTCACGCATCTCTGAAGCTCGTCCCAGGCGTGCTCGATGGGGTTTAAGTCCGGTACCTCTTCAACGTAGTCATGTACAATTCTGGCGGTATGGGGACGCGCATTATCATGCATTAATATGCCATGCCGGTCCATCCTGGCCATGAAAGGACCTACATGTTCATTGAGGATCTCTTCCACGTACCTCTCTGCATTTAGAGTTCCATTTTGAATGAGTACCAGCTCGGTGCGGGTCTCAGTAGAAATCCCAGCCCAAACTTGTACGGAGCCTCCACCGTACGCCACTTTTTCCTCCACACACGCTTGATGGAAGCGCTCCCCTGGTCTTCTGTACACCAACTGCCTACCATCATGCTTATAAAGCATGAATTTAGACTCGTCCGTGAACATTACCCTAGACCAATCGTCTAGTGTCCAGTTTAGGTGCTCGCGCACGATACGTGTCTTGCAATTCGATGTCCCCGTTCCAGTTTGGGGCCATTTGCGGGCCTCAATGGTTTTAAATTTGCTTCAGCAAGACGTCTTCTTACTGTTTGAGCGCTTAAATTGCCACCTCCAAAGCGAATAAAGTGAGTTTTTAGACCAACAGCAATTTGAAAACGATTTCGGAGCAGTGGAAGACGTTCACGATAATTGTTTTTGTGACAGAATAGAAATGGAAAGCATCTATGATGAAATGAAACAAAAATTTTGTTTTTAAAAATAGTCATTTTTTTTAATTTTGTTTTTAAAAATAGTCATTTTTTTTTATTTTGTTTTTCCAATGAAGTTTTTTTCATCAACCAGTTTAAATAATATGCTATTAGAAGCGCAACTAAAAAGTCTTTATTCTGTTTTTTATTTCATTGATCTAACTTTTACAGTTCTGGAGGTATTTCAATTTTTGTGACTGACCCGTAATTTTTGGAACCGAGTGTATATACTTTATATTTATGACATTTATGTGTATTCTCTGAACATTGCAGTCACTGTACTGTTTGCTCTCAACTGACGACCTGGCTCAAGCAACTAAACTTACAACTATTTAAAAAGCAGGAGTATGATAATTTGCTGTGCCATCTCCAAGGGATGACGCTGGATGATGTACATAATACGCTAAAGACGGACTTCCACTGGGACATGGCTCTCAGAGAGGTATGCAATCAACCAATTATGGACCGTAAGATTCATCATAATTCAACAGCAATAAACTGCATTTTGGTACAGAAAACTAAAGTATACTGTTCCTGTAAAAGAGTATATTTTCCGTTTTGTTTATTTGTTGATCAAGTCTAATATGCTTATATTGCTGTACTTGCGCAAAGCGGTAAAAGCCTGAATGCTTTTTCAAACTTTAATCAATCTCTGAGCCAAATTTCAGTCAGATCCATTTAGATTCTCCAGCATTATTGAGTAATAAACATGTATCCACACTTTACGTTTTATAATTGTGTAATATGGTTTACTACCATCAACGTCGTGCGCGATCGTCCTGCGGGGTGACAGACGGTGGCGGGACCGAGGTACTCAAGATGTCAGCGGGTAGTGGGTGGTGTAGCGGGGAAGGGAAACGCTTCTCTTCGTGTGTAGCCGTGTGCTAGAATGACGCGCTACCTCGCCCCCGCCACAGTCTGTCACCCCGCGGGACGGTCGCGCACGAGATTGCCGGGTTATAAAGGTGTACTAAAGAGTGTAATTTAGAAGATACTCGACTAATAACAGGTTCAAAAATTGAGCGAAGAGAGCAAGCATTTGTTGCGTATTAGGTACCTGTACTTTTAAGTATTTAGTTAATTATATAGATACAGATTTACTTACAATCACGATAACCGGCCAAATTAAAGTGGAAAAATAATTTTCCTTTCTAGTTAATATCGACTCGTAACTACACGAAGTATGAAATGAACAAATCCATGGGAGAATTTATTGGCCTCGTAAAGCTGTACCTTCTTGAAGACATCGCAGCTAATACCACAAAACTGACAGAATGCTTGGCAAGAAACATTTCCAGAAATGAAATTGGCAATGCCACGCTGTAAGTATTACTTAAAAAACATGTATATATACAGACACTTGTAGCAGTATCCATGAAAGGATACTGAGGCTTAACTCGCTCTCGACGGCGAGAGCGTTCGGTGTTACGATTGGTGAAGATTTGAATGCGATCCAATCACAACGCCGTATGCGATCCCGTGATGTGAAATAAACTAGCACTTTAGTCCCAATTACATAACCGGAATGATAAATATTAAAAATGGGAATTGGGTATTTGATAAAAGTGAAATTAAATGATCTTATTTCATTCTAGGACATATTACACATCGCTCTTCAAACCTAAAATAAGCAGGTCTTTACACACTGGGTTCTAGAATAAGGAGAAATAAACGTGTATTACGTAACGTGTATTTATGTTTTTGTAAATATATCATCAACAGCCTTTAATAGTCCACTGCTGGACATAAGCCTCTCCTTAGAAAGGAGGTTTTGGCCTACTATACCACGCTGGCCAGACGGGTTGGTATAGGGTTTGTGTCAAGTTTTCCTTCTCTCTGCAGTGCTGTTGTTCTGCGTAGTTTTCTCCCTTAGTCGGCTCTTACGACACCCACGGGATGAATAGGGGTGACACTCTGTATTCTTAATCCGTCACCACACGGACGTTTGTAAATATATAAATACACGTTATGCTTATACACATTTAGTGCAAATAGATATATTCATGAATCTATGTCTAAATTTTGCTCTAAACGTGAACCGAATTCTGAAATGGCTGTCGAATGCTTTATCAAAATGCCAAAAATCTGTACAAAATGACTTACCCTAACAAATTTATCAACGCAAACTTGAAATTCTGGTAGCTGATACTTTTCATGTCGTAAGCACTCACCAAGAAAGGGTTTTTAGAAATTTCACCCCTCAAGGAGTAAAATAAAGGATGACTGTGTGGAAGTTAGTCATTTACAAAGTTAGAAACCAGAAATAATTACGCGAGCGAATCCTTGGATGACAGCTAGTTATAAAAATTATTTATTTTTCAGCTTCGCATCAGTCCTGGCCCAGACAGGTAAACTATTAAGAGCAGAGCTGCCTCATATACAAGAAGTAGAAGGAGTCAGAGATTTACCATACTTAAAGGAGATATACGAAGAAATAGCTCGTCACCTGGATGTAGAGAAACCTCTGGTAGACTATCTAATTGAAAATAATGCTTTGCATGAAGACTTGGTGTCGATTTTGGACTCCGATGTAGCCAATGATATCGAGGATTCAAAAATTAATTTGCGTAATGTAAGTGTGATTTATTTTTGTCGCTTATAACAATTGTTTTTATATTTAAAAGCCAATACTTTCGATTATAATATTCTATGGCTTTGCGATTGTTTACTGGAATTTAAATTAGTAAATACCCTGTCACTATTAACTCTTAGGACGTCGCGGCGCGCGGATGACCTATGACCCGTTACTGTCGCGCCCTTGAACTAGTGACCCAGTCACAGCTGAGCGAAGTCATTATTACCTCAATATCTACGTTATTTTATAATTATATTCAATGAAATAAACATATTTGGAATCCCTGATATACACTGTGGCGGTATAGATATCACTAAAAATGAAATAACAGATAACACGGTTCAATATACGTCGGTTAAAATAAAAAAATAAAAAATTAGTACGAAAATACAGAAATGCAAATTTAGAACAAACTAAATACAATAAAATAATTTCCGAATTAGAACACCATTGATAACATGAGTCGGTGAACTGTACCTACACGGCAGCGTCGCAATGTCGGCGACATCAAAACGACGCCGCCGCCGCCGCCGCCGCCGAACTTTACATTCTTATTACCTACCTACCAATCACTTCACTTGCTTTTAAAAATCTATTTATAAAGAATGCGATTTTATTCACGTGTTTATTTCGTGAATGCTCGACTAGCTTCCGACCCAGCAGTACGCGTCACTCCTTGAAAAAGTAGTTACCTTGGTTGTCTCGTAATCTTTGTACCGCCCTTACAAAAATTCGGCAGTCTGTAGGACATACACGATTGACTCCATACGTGTCCGTAAAGCAAAAGATGCGTTTTGATAGAGTTTTCCATAAATTAACATCATAGCAGGATATTCCGCCGCTGTGAAGGTCACTCACGGCATTATGGATGTTGATATCGATAACCCAATAAAATTAAAAGACTGATAATGCACTCAGTTTCACACTACACTACACACAGAACCTAATAGTGGCTTTTCAAAATAAAATTAGCAGGACTCCTTACATTACGAAGTCTTGCGCACACGATAACATTAATTGTTCACACCATTGCCGTGTATTATGACGAAAGCAATAAGACTAAACAATTATTACCACAAGAAAACTTCTCTAAGCAAATATGTATCTCATAAACAACAACAATATTATTATTACGGTTATTTATCGTGAGCGCATCTACAAGGATACGGAATAGCATAAGCTCGCCGGTGGCCAAGGGCCGACTGACTGTCCTTACTGGATGAACTAATTAAAAACGCGTGTTGCATCGTGATGACGTAATAATCAACATATTTCGTTCGATTCGGGTGTAGTAAAAGCGGCAACGTGTGATTATACCTACAGCTGATCGCCGCCTGAGGTCAATGTATTATGACTGCATGTACACATGATGTTGCAATTTACGAAACACAAAAATGAGTCCTGTGGCTAAACTACTGGATATATTTTGTTCATATTTTGCAAATCGCCTAGAAATTAAGGGCAGAATATGTGGCTTAAGTATTTGGGATAGGAAATGAAACTCTGTATATTCTTCTAAATGTTGTGACAGAGACGCTACCGCGTAAAAGTTTGGTGTCACAACTGTTGTGACGGCGACGCGTAGGAGGTTAATGTTATCATGTCTATTTGTTAAATATACCTATATATAAAAACGTACGTATATATTTGTGTAAGTGAACATATATATACCTATTATTATGTGTAGTACATCGTCCGCCATACTTCACTCCTGATGATACTCAATCCTTCCAAAGGTTGTCTAGCGGATATCGCAGCATTAAGACCACTCATTATACCTAACAGTACCATTAAATTAAAAATCTGTTGTATTATTGGAACGAAGTTCCTTATCGCGCGTTGTGAAAGGGGGCTAGACGGAAAAAATTCGTACGAAAATTTGTCACGACACTTTTTAATATAAATTGACGTCTTACTGTGGATACCATACATTAAATTTGTTTTAACGTTCGCCAACGTCCATACCATGTTGAATACACCGGTTCTCGTCCGATCACCGAAGTTAAGCAACATCGGGCGTGGTTACTACTTGGATGGGTGACCGCCTGGGAATACCACGTGATGTTAGCTTTTTGCTCTTTATTTTCGTGTCATCTTGTCAGACATTCAGCGCCATCTATCGAATAGATAGGAAATCATTTCGCAAGGAGATTTTACCAATGTATAAATTCTTTTAATTGTTTTTAATATGTACGTAATAGCCGCTTTCATAGATGGCGTTGTAATTAAAATCGTGTCAAATCAGTTTTACTCGATCGTCACAACTTCGTTCCTATCGTTTGTCCCACGACACCACACGGATTTTATCTCTACGAGTATCTATTTTCGCCTTAATGAAGAACCAGATAATATAAACTAGAATACATATACTATACTACAAAATACTACTATATAAATAAACTACAAAATAAACAAACTTCACTTTAACCCAGCGCAGATTTGTCAAATTGCGCAATAACTACAATAACTACAATTTCTAATCAAAATTTTCAGATCCGAAGCATGCCGGACTCTTTGACTCAAATTAAACTTCCAAGAGGAAACTGGAATGTAGTTTGTGATAAATACAACTGCAGTGAAATTGCGTCTATACTCAAGGAATATCTTAACAACTCCAAGATTGATAAAATGGTAAGTAGTGAATGCAGCAACAAGCCAAACGATAACAGATTATTTCGCCGATGACAATACAAAACAATTATATCGAGCCTTAGAGATCTTTCTCATCCGCGATCACTAAAACATCCTTTATATTTTGGTCGTATCCGCTGGAAAATTAATTTCTTAAATTCTCTGAATGCAAAATTGTATTTCTGATATATATGAGAAATTCGGTCGGAAATATAGCCACTGTGGCTAATAGACATGGTACAAAATAGGTTAAAGTTAAAGTCAATAAGCTGTTTACAGACGTGCATAAAGACCCTATTTCGCCTATTTAACAGTAAATACAGTAATTATTTTATAATATATATCTGCCATATAAGTACTCAGGGTATATGCTATCCTAGTATGCTATATTTTTCATAAAATCACATTTAAATTTCTGTGCATCTACCATGTTTTATCTCTGTATCGCCCTAAGCTTAACTGGGAGAAAATGTCTGCGGTATTAAGTCCGGCTTTGTCACATTTGTGCATAAAGTGTAAATAAATAAATAATATACTATTTTCTATATAATAATAAAAAAAAATGATTTACTCGTAAATAATGTCTGAAAACAGCTTATTGGCAACAAGGCGTGAGTAAGTAGCAACCCTAACCTATGTACGAAAAAATCGAATGATAAATCACAGTTCATTGTGATTATGTCCCATATCTAGAGGCAAGACTCATGTGAACTACTCGCCCGGAGTCAGGAGTGATACGACTGCCTTACAAAAGACCGGTGTTAAGCAATTCTTGCGTTGATACTCACCAAATGAATGAGGTTCCTGAAGGCTCAACCCCACCCATTAATTCTGAGGGGAATACTTCAAGGTTGCCACCGTAAGTTTGGCTCTTGAGTTGTAGTTATCCATGGGTGGCGATAGTGGCTTGCCATCATATGAACCATCTGCGCGTATAACGCCCTATATACCATAAATAAACAACATTGTGTGTATGTAAACATTCACACTTCTCTTTTTAAGCTTCCTAAATACCAACAAGAAGAGTTTTGGCGCTTCAAATTCGTGTCAAACATTATCCAGCGCATCGAGGGGTTGGTCTCCCACATAGCGAGATTGTTGGGTGTAGCAAGTAAACTGGACCTAGCTGGACTACGAGATGGAAAATTAGATGCTTTGTTGGATACTGGTCTGTTGCTGATCAAAGATGATATTTTGGACAGTATTGGATACAGGTATGTTGCTGTTACATAGATTATAGAAAGTTAGATTGTTATTTTATGGGTTTCTCAATAACTGCAGTAAAGAATTTCCCAGAAACCGATAGATTTGGATATGGATAGAAAGTCTCTGTGATTGAATTTTTCGAAATGGATTCAAAAGTCTCTGTTGGAATTAATGTTATAGGGCCTATATCGACGGATTTGTGTCCAGGGATTTCAATCATGGCTGTGTAGCTTTGTTATTTACTTTACTCGGATAGCTGGTAATCTATACTTAAAGAGTACGAATGCCGTATGCGTCTGGGCGAGTTACGTATCAAGTCAAGAAGTTTTGATCAAAACTGACTTTTATCGTAGGTAAATGAATGGATAATAATCATGTATGAGAAAATTGAAGCGGAAAGCATGTAAGTTTATGAACACAAAACGAAGGTAATAGTATTCATAGGGACGAAGGGTTGTCAGTTTGTGTGATGTAGATTTAAAAAAGGTATATTTTTCAAAGATTCCTTCTAAACCAAACTGATTACTTTAAACTGATCGGTTGTAGAATCTAAAAGAAGTACATGGTCATCACCCTTTATTCTTCTTCAGTTTGCAGGGTCTGATAGCTGAAATGCAACCGTTGATGGAAACTACACCACTGGACAAAGACCTCCAGGCTTTGTCAGCTGGCCTCAATGTGTTGCGACAGTTTAAATATTACCTATTGGATAAAATTAATCCAAAAAGTAAGTTTTTATAATTATCTTAAAAGATATCATTATTATTTTTATTCGAGTAACACAGTATTAATAACAATAAGACTGATATCCATGTTAGTAAACTAAATAATAAACAAATAATGAGACGAACTAATACCTAACATAGCACATAAATATTATGCTGCAAGTCCAGCAGAAAGCTTGAAGCACGGGTTTACATTTGCGGAATCCAGTTGGCTAGAGATCATTTTTATAATGCTGTTGCTGCTGCCTCGCACCTCATCTCTTACGCTTAACTGTATAAAAGCAATCAACGAAGCCTTTTATAAAATTAGATGTTTAGGTTATTCTTTGTTTACACCACTAATAACACACTACCACAATTTCAACTAAAAAGAGATTTTTACCAGATGACCTTTTAGATGAAGAAAAAAACAGATGTATTAAATAAAACTAGGAAGTTGATGGCCTAAAATATTATACCGAAATATAATAAACTGTGTTGAGCCGTTCTTAGGCATTTTTAAAATAGTTTTACTAATGTTTTAACTAAAAATGTTTTTCCTTTGTTCCTAGTTGAGGTGAAGAGCCTGTTCCTGAATCCTGAAAATATTGAGGCAGGATTGTCGGCTTTGGGTATCAACAATACCAATTTCTGGTCTATAGCAGCGCCCAGGATATACGAAGGATATATTCACTTAAAACCGGTAAGGTTGAAAATAAAATAGACGATATAACGATTTTACCGCAGCCTGATTCATAAGTAACGATCACATTGTTACTAATACGAATGAAGCAAGAAGAAAATCCCAAACTATTCTATTTTGGGGCAAAAATATTAAAACCCCTCACACGAAATTGCCACTAAACCTATGCAGCAGCAATATTCAGTACGATTGAGCCAGACTGAATTCTTTTAATTTATGTGTCAAATTTCATAATTTTATTTCACACATATATTATATATATAAGCTTACACCTATATACTCGAAGGGGCAGGCAGAGAACATGCCTCTGCCTACCCCTATTATCACTGCCAACTATAATATTATTATCACTTACGAAAAATTTGCTGATGTGACCGGTTAATGTGTATATATAGAACTGATATTCGCATTAACCGGTCACATGAGGCCAGGACTGATAGGAATATTACGGCTATTGCAGCATAGTCCGAAACCCTCTTTCCTTATTTACAACAAGAATATAGAAAAATATATACAAATTCTATCACATTTTTTTAAATTTCAATAAGTACTCTCCTACTAAAAAAAATATCTTTTTACCAGCTTTTCACTTCAAAACAAGACAACATCCACATATCGATGTACATGTGTCAGATCGATGCCATGTCGAAGGTATTGAAGCCGTCGAACCTGGACGTGGTGACCGCTGAGGACGTACTGGCTGCAGTTGTTGACCAGTTCTGCGGTCTGCCAGATGAAACTGCCAAACAAATATTGCCAGTACTTCTTAAAAATTTCAACTTCAAACCTATACTGGATTTTGTAAGTGAAGAAATTACATTAAATTCATTTATGTATAATTATTTGACCGCTTATGTGATGCTTTAAAGTAACACGCACCGCGGTAGTAAATTTTCAAAGTGCAATTTATTTTAGTTTTCTTTTACTACCGCCTCTACCGTAATGTAACATTCTATATAAATTTCCACCAATGGATAATTTGTCAAATTTGACATTGGTGGAAATTTGTCACAAGCATCTACTAAAAAATCTATTGTTTTTCAGATTAAAACGACTCTTCTTAAGAAGTTATATGAAGCGTCAAACCTGACAGAAGATGAAGGTGCCTCAGTTCTCTCCAAGTATTCACAGATGGTGGCACTAGTGCCAGCTATACAGGACAACATCGGCTACGTATCAGAGCTGTTCGCTGATGAACCTATGTTCAAGAGCTTTAAAGAATTCAGTTCTATCGGAAGCTTATTCTCATGTATGTATTTAATAAATTACTAGTGTTAGATATAAATTCATACCTATATAACTATATGGGAGATTCAAGGTCGAAGTTTGGGCGAACTTCAGAAAGTCAATTCTAATTCAATCGTGGGAGAGCTTAGTTTTAGCACAAATGGGCAGGCTCGACCGGAGTGATAATAAACCTCTGTGATTGTAAAATAAACTTCTTCGTTTAACTTAATTTTTGACTGTTTTCGTTTCCTTTTATTTCGAAGCTCAAAGAGCAGGTATCTCTGAAAAAAATACTTTACTCACGTCTAATAGTAGGCAGCGGAGTATTAAACGTCTATATTTTGCCTACCATAATGGCTTACATTAGTAAAACATCATCATCACATCACACATAGCACATCGACAGCCTTCAATAGTCGACTGCTGGACATAGGCCTCTCCTTAGAAAGGAGGTTTTGGCCTACTATACCACCCTGGCAAGACGGGCCAGATTTACATAGGGGTTGCGTCCAGTTTTTCTTCTCCCTGCAGTGGTGTTGTTTGGCGTAGTTTTCTCCCTTAGTCGGCTCTTACGACACCCACGGGAAGAATAGGGGTGGTGACACTCTGTATTCTTAATCCGTAACCAGATCATCATCAGCCTTCAATAGACATAGGCCTCTCCTTAGGTTTTGGCCTACTTTAACACGCTGGCCAGACGGGTTATAGGGTTTGTTTTAAGTTTTCCCTTTCTTGGCAGTGCTGTTTTCCTGCGTATTTTGCTCCGTTAGTCGACTCATACGAAAACCATGGGATGAATAATGGTGGTGACGCTCCGTATTCTTAATCCGTCACCACACGAAATCGAATTTATTAGACGTATTTAGTAATATTTACCGCATATTTTTTTATCCAGCTAAAGAATTCCTGTCAAGTGCCGGCAGCTGTTTCTGTGGCAAGCCCTTCAGTGTAAACACGAACAAGATCTACAAACAGATGGTGGCCACGGAGGATCTGTCCACTAAACCTGACCAGGCCCAATTGGATGCGTTGCCAAGTAAGTATATCAGATATGAATAGATTGACCATCGATGTTACGTGAACAGTGTGTGAACAGTGTGTTATAGATAGGTGGTCTCATTTCAGGGTCCTATACGCCGTAGATCCTCGTATTTAGGTACATATAGTATAGGCCAAACCTCCTTTCTGAGGAGAGGCCTATGTCCAGCAGTGGACTATTTAAGGGTGTTGATGATGATGATGAGGTACAAGTCGTATAATTTATTAGTTGTGATTTTGATATTAATTTATAATAATTTAATATCTTGAAACTGACGAACTTGATTGATAAAATTCACATTTGTTTGAAAATTTTCGCATAAGAAAACAAAATTCATACCATATTGTTAAAAAAATATATCTAAGAAAAGCATTTTCCAAGGATATTTTCCAAAAAAATACAAATAAATTTATATTGTCATAAACTAGTAATCCACGCAGTTTCACCTATGTTTTCACACTCTGCCCTTCACCAGTGTTAGGTACCACACAAAATGTGTGAGACAAATCCAAAATCAAACATTTTTATTTTTATACAAATTAAATTAATTAATTGCATTTCTTTGAATTAAAAAAAAACAAGCTTTTATATCATGTAGTACCAAAGCACTCACCAAGACAAAGAAAATAAGCCCAAATTTAGCTTCCAAAATGCGTTCCGAACACTCATACATACATAAAAACATTGCAAGTTAAATAATAAAAACTTGAAACAAAGACAGGTTTTTCTTTGTTTTATTTATTAAGATTTATTAATATATACACGTCTAAAAGATACTAAATGTATATAATCTCAAGGAAAGAAAGAAAGAAACATTTATTTGCACAGAATACAGGTGGTACCAGATTTTACAAAGGTGTATAATGTTCAAGCTATATTCTGCCTGTACTAGGCATGTAAATAATTACATATTTAGTGTTTAAATTATTAAATTTAATTTATCTAATTTATTAAATCTACAAATGATCATATACATCAGTTTTATATTGCATGGTAATGGAGGTAATGAAAAACCCACTCGTACCACTGAGAGCTAAGACCTAAAGATTTAATTCTTGTATTCTACCTGTCATGACATATGGATGCTAAACCTGGAGCTTAACTAATCACAACATACATAAATTAGAAACTTGCCAACACAGTATAGAACGAAGCATACTTAACACCAAATTAAAAGATAAAATAAAACTGGATACTATAAGGAAGAAAACTAGAATCACAGATGTTACTTATTGTATTAAAAAGGTAAAACGGAGGTGGGCAGATTAAAAAAATAGCGAGACATACTTGGGAAAGATAAGCGCAGAGAATGTAACCGAAGGTGGTGCCCGTGCCATTGCCAGAAGGCGCTAGGAGGGGTCCGGATGTCTTAATAACAGCAGTTCCCGGATCCCTCCTATTACAGGCGCAGAGTGGCACACCGTGTGGTTTTAGTCGGTCCGATTCCGACACACCACCCCGCCGCAAACCCCGGTGGGGTGACGGCCCGGTACCGGTGTCGAACAATTAAATAAGATATTGTAACTATATTGTAAGAAAGATTAATAAATAAAGGCGATTATTATTATTCTCTTTATTTACTTTATATACATATTATTTACATTTTCAAACACACACTTTATAAAAAAATATTAAAAAATAGTAGACCACCGACATCGGGTACAGGGTTCAAGACACCGGTGGTTAGGACTCCAAAGATAGGAACCTACTCACTATACGAGCCGTGTCAAGGAGGACTGCCTTCTGCATCAGACCCTTGATCCAGCCGTCCAACGTGAGCCTCTTAAGGTGTTGGTCGAGGCTCTTGGCTATCAATCCGTGAGCAGATACGACTAACGGAACAACGATCACTAAATCAACATTCCACATATAGACAATCTCGTGAGATAAATCCAAATATTTGATTTGTTTTTCTTTTTCAACTTTCACGAGATTCTCGCCATGAGGAGCGCCGATGAGGATATTATCTATACTAATATTATAAAGCTGAAGAGTTTGTTTGTTTGTTTGTTTGTTTGTTTGAACGCGCTAATCTCAGGAACTACTGGTCCGATTTGAAAAATTCTTTCAGTGTTAGATAGCCCATTTATCGAGGAAGGCTATAGGCTATATATCATCACGCTAAGACCAATAGGAGCGGAGCACCAATGAAGAATGTTTCAAAAACGGAGAAAATTTATTACTATTGAGAGACGCAGACGAAGTTGCGCGGGTCAGCTAGTTATTAATATATACACGTGTTTGCAGATGATTATTGCCGCTCGTTATACGTGGACATCGTGAACGTGCAAGGTGGCAAAATCGTGTGGAGCTTCATCAAGCCGCTGATTATGGGCAAGATACTGTACACACCCCCCAACCCTACTGTCAACACAATCATGGAGAAGGTATAAACATCAATAAACGTATGTTTTGATGAATCATCAATCATCAACAGCCTATAACAGTCCACTGCTGGACATAGGCCTCTCCTTAGAAAGGAGGTTTTGGCCTACTATACCACGCTGGCCAGACGGGTTGGTATAGGGTTTGTTTCAAGTTTTCCTTCTCTTTGCAGTGCTGTTGTCCTGCGTAGTTTGGTCCCTTAGTCGGCTTTTACGACACCCACGGGATGAATAGGGGTGGTGACATTACGTATTCTTATTCCGTCACCACACGGACATTTTGATGATTGATAAAACGTTTTGATGAATGTTTTTACAAAATGTTTATTGCCGCACGTTACATAAACTCTTATTTCAAATTCTCTTCAGACCTCTCTAGTTTCTTATATAAATTACTAGATTGTGCTTGCGACTTCGTTCGCGATGAATTTGTAAAGCGCTACCTTAGTGGGTTCGATTTCCGGATCGGGCAAAATTTTATAGAGTTTTTCTGTGATAAAAAATAGCTTACGTTACTCCTTATATAGACAGCTGCCTGGTAGTAAACATTATCCAGGTCCAGCCGTTTTAAAGATTACCTGGAACAAACAGACAGACAAAAAAAAATTGAAACTGGTTTTAAGCATAGGTATCGCGCAAATAATCGTGTGAGCATGAAAAAAAACCTATTATTTTGACATTACGAAACAGACACTTCAATTTTATTGATTTGTAAAGGTAATTTTGTCGCAATAGAGCCATACTTCGGCACAAATGGGCGGGGTCAGTCGCAGTGACACCACAGCCTCACCTGAAAACCGATGATTAACGATTCTCCCCTTTCTTTTCACCGAATGAATCTGATTATTAAGTCCCCAATAATTCCAGTATATTTTCTAATAGGTATATTTCTCATTTACTCCGGGATGTGCCTCAGACATGAAGTACGGCAGGGAGGACTCCAGAAGTCGCTGATGCGTTCCTGGAGCTCCTCCCGACTGCCGAGGTAGGCCGCCGCGGGGTTTAGTGGGTAGACCGGTTCTCCGGGAGTCCCACACACGCCCTACGTTTCCCCAACGGAGGGTATGGTGCGAAAAGCATTCCCCGCGTGAAAAAAAAAAAAAAAAAAAAAAAAAAAAGGTATTTCTCATTTGGTCCCATTCAAATTTCCAAAAAAAAAAACCTAAGGGTTCAGGAATGAAGAACACAGTTTATTGCAATTCATTATGTTGTCGGCGTATTTATTTTTATATTTTTATTATTGTATAGTACGAGTATTTATTATAAAATAAATCCTATCCCACCCTATCGAAAACGAATTACGCTCCATATTGTTTTTTCGGAAATAAATTAAAAAAAAACTTTAAAATGATTGGACACATTTTTTTTGGCAGTCGCATAAAATAAAATCTCCCAAACTCTACCGTAACGCCTATTGCAGGATAGTATTGATTTTTATTTTATTTTTATACGATTACCATATTGCAGGCTAACTCCACATTCGCATCGATGATTAAAGTGGTAAACCTTGTCCACTCCTTCGCAAAGTCATTCCCAGCAGTGAACAAGATGCTATCACATCGTGACGGAGTCGATGTTCTTCGTAATGTAATGACAAGCCCTCAGTTCAGCGCTGTGAGAGCTTTGATCGTTGACGGTGAAAGTAATGAAGGTGTCAGCGTACAAGACTTCAATGTTGATGGACTGTTTCATGAATTTGGAGATGTTGAGGTAAGATTAATTTCTTGTAGCCCTGAACAGCCACCACTTTCTTCTGGGTTGCCTTAAGAATTCATGTTCCTACATGAATTCTCAAGGCAACGCAGAAGAAAGATAGTGATAAAAATGACAGACAAAAATGACAGGAACCGGCCCTGTGTTCCTACACAGAGTCGGTTCCTTTTAACATTTAAAAAAAAATAAACCAGATAATAGTGTCTGTCCTTATATAGTACTGTCTTGCATAGTAGTGAGTCTGCTAGATTCTTGATAGGCTGAGCCCTTCTCCAGACTAAAGATAACTCCGTATAAGGGCACACCTTAACCACTAGTCTTTGTGCGTAGTCAGAGGATATGACTACGCACAAAGACTAGTGGTTAAGGTAGTCATGTAGTAGGCGTAGTCATGAAATAAAATAGATAATATATTCCAGGATATTGGCACGCTATTATCAAAGGCATCAGACATCCTGAACTGCATCAACTTGAATAGGATCCAGGCTACTCCTAACGAATATGAACTAACACATGCGGCTGCTGTCCTCAGCACTGTCAACGAGTTCTCCGCTGGTTAGTAACAAAGTGTCAAGATACGTGATTTCTTAGTTAAATCTGATTGTTCTTCATCATCAGACTCAATATCGTTTATGTCAAGGGATCTTTCATAGAGATGTTGTACATCAGAATGAAAACTTTCATTACACGATTCAGAAGGCCTAGTGTGAGTTTATTTCACGTCTACTCGATCATCACGGTAACCGCGTCCGGCGTTGTGATTGGCCCGCACTGAAATCTTTACCAATCGCAACGCTGTACCCACTCGCCATCGATCGCGATTTGATGTAAAATATACTCATACTAGGCAATTAGAAACGTCCTTACGTCGTTCATTGTATCATCACTAGATATTGCCACGTGTTCTAATGTTTCTTTTTTCTGCCTTAGGTGTAGTGTTCCTCAACAGTGAAGAACTAGACGATTCCTTTTCTAACGTGGAGTATAAAATACGAATGGATATCGACACCGTGCCTACTACTAAAAGATTAAAGGACTTGTAAGTTTGCTTCTGATAATTTAAGCTGTACTCCAAGGTAAAGCTACAATTCGATACGGTATATTTCTTTTACGTAATAGGTGTACAAATGAGCTAGTGGGTGACCTGATAGTAAGTGATTACCGACGCCCATGGACCAAATGCGATGCGCAAAGATGCAAATGCGTTGTCACCATTTGTGTGCCTTCCAAATAAACTTTTTTTTGTGCGTTCTTCCTCAAATCTACTCATTTTGATAAAATGAGAATGAGAAGGTGGACTTTTGTTACTCTCAAAGAAAAACGACTGAATAGATTCGGTTGAACTTTGGGACACTAAAAGTTTGTATCACAAACACAGAATACTCTTAACCTTACGAAGGCTACTCCCCTACCTTAAATTCACCCCCCTAATGTGCATAAATTTATATTAATATTTCCTTCCACAGCTTATGGATCCCAGGACCTGAATCCAACTTCATAGAGAACATGCGCTATTTCCGAGGCTTCGTTGAACTCCAGGACATCGTAGACAAGGCTATTATCCAGTTATCTGCTGAGAACAGCCTCTCCAAGACCACAACTGAAGAGGAAGATTGGGCCGTATATACACAACAAACACCTTATCCATGCTATACAGCAGATTTGTGAGTCGTCATCATTTATTTGCATACTAGTACAGTTCGATTGCATTAGAATTAATTTTCTATCTTTAGGAAACCATATTTTTTTCTGGGTAAATTCTTTAGGGAAGGTGGAATGGACGTAGGGTTGACTTTGAAGTCAAACCTTTCCCCCTCTTCACATCCCCGATACTAAGTACTATAATTTGAAGTTTAGTAGCTTTACTATAATTTGAAGTTTAGTAATAATAAACTAATAGTAGGTTCACAAATGCAGATATTCAACTACTACTGTCTCTCTGCAACTTTTGATCCATCCTAAGGTGGCCTGGAAGAAATTGCATTTAGCAATAAGGCCGCCCTTTGTACACTCGATATTTGATCGCTGTGTTCCTTTCTTGTAACTCTGTAATTTAGTGTGCAAATAAAGAGTTATCTATCTATCTATCTTTTCTACAGCATTCTGCACACAGTTTCTTTTTAGTACTAGATCATTTAACTACAGGAGACTTATTATGAAATGTAGTTTGTCAGTCTAGATAATCATAATAACGTGGCACATCTCCCTCGGTCCTCCGATTCCGAACTAATCGGAGCCTATGCTGTGGTAACCAAACTGCTGATAAGTAAACATATCTGTAAATATTAAATACACAAAAATGATAGCTTAATTACACTCAGATAAAGTACAAAAGTATAAACATATCCGTGTGGTGACGGATCAAGAATACGGAATGTCTCCACCCCTATTCATCCCGTGGGTGTCGTAAGATCCGACTAAGGGAACAAACTGTACAGGACAATGGCACTACAAAAAGAAGGAAAACTTGAAACAAACCCTATACCAACCCGTCTGGCCAGCGTGGTATAGTAGGCCAAAACCTCCTTTCTAAGGAGAGGCCTATGTCCAGCAGTAGACTATTATGGGCTGTTGATGATGATGAATATTCAAGCGATCGTGCTTGTCACACAATGTATCGTCTTGCGTGAGAATTGAACGCACGTCCTCTAGGTTAGCAGTTTGTTCAGTCAGTTAATAACGGGTGATATGTTATCTTTAAGAGGAAAACGATTGAGAATAGTCTCTCTTTATAAATAAATTAAGACCGTAAGTTTTTTTATTTAATAACTAGCACATCAATTAATTTTTCCAGATTCCAGACAGGACTATACGAGTCTCAGTCGCTGATAGTGGCTTTCTTCTTCTCTCTGCTGTTCTCTGTCGCCTCTACAGTACGCTTCATCGTGTCTGATAAAGAGTCTGGCAACACAATGGTATTGCTATTTTCTGTTTTTTTATTTATACCATACTTCGTAAAGATTGCACCAGACTGAAAAATACTTCACTTGTAACTTCTGAAGAATTCTCCTAGCACTAGTTCTTAGCTGCATCGTCAGATCAACTCGATGATGTCAAATTATATTAATTTCATCTCGGGTCGTGGGAGAGTCATGCTTGAGTACAAATGGGTCAGCTCGAACGGAGTGATGCCACGGCCTCACAGAAAACCGGTGTTAAGCATTATTTTCGTTGTTTTTCCATGAGTGAATGAGGATACCGAGGACCAACGAACAACTAAAACAATACTAGGGGAAGGAGTTACTTCAAGGATGGCAACTCATTTGTCTCTAGAGCCTTTTGCCTGTGTCCATGGCTGACCCATATGCTCGTATGCTCCCTCCGTCATAAACAAAAAATAAATAAAAAATAATATAGTAAGTTATTATTGTAAGTGTGGTGACGGAATCAAAATTCGGAGTGACGCCACCCCTATTCATCTCGTGGGTGTCGTAAGCCGACTAAGGGAGCACACTACGCATTACAACAGCACTGCAAAGAGAAGGAATACTTGAAACAAATTCAATACCTACCCGTCTGGCCAGCGTGGTATAGTAGGCCAAAACCTCCTTTCTAAGGAGAGGTCTATGTCCAGCAGTATACTACTAAAGGCTGTTGATGTGCTGTGAAGTTATTACAAAAGCTAATACACGCGTGTAAATACATTTAAGTGCAAAAATCACACTTGCAATAAGCACCTCAAAGTACAAAATGGTGTGCAGTATTCAGCATTAAGTATCTGTTCAACTTTCTAGTTAATGTCGGTGATGGGTGTGGACCTCCGCTGGCACACGCTCTCCTGGTTCATAGCATCGTTTATAGAGATGACAGTCACCATGGTCTGCATCACAATTATACTCTACGCAGGAAGTATACTTCCCACTACAGACCCTAGCCTCGTGTTCGTACTGCTCTTCATATTTGGAATATCCATGCTGAGTTTCTGGTGAGTTATACAAAAATACCACAGTGTATCATGGAGTTGTTGGCGATTTTAACCTCAACTAATACACTACAGATATCAACCCACTCCTGGCTTAATTAAAATTTTATAATTAAAATCATTTAGGATTTCCAGAGTTACTGTACTCAAAAATATGAGCAATCTCAACCTCCTTTCTAAGGAGAGGCGTATGTCCAGCAGTGGACTATAAAAGACGTTAATGATGATATGAGCAATCTCCAATGTATAAGCCCACATTATTGTGAACAGATAGAACTGGAGCTGGTTTTGTGTAGAGTTTTCATTCATGTTCACACTGTTCTTTTCAACTTACAAATATATCTTTTGTCATTTCATCTACAACATCCTAATTTTTATTGTTGTTCTCTTTCCTACAGCTATATGATATCGAAGATGTTCCAATCGGCGAGCTTGGCTGCTGTGTGTGGTGCCATCACTTACCTGGTCACGTTCATGCCCATAGTCATAATCCTATCTCTTGAAACCGTGCTTTATAACTCATTCAAGTTGGTTATTGTAAGTTGATCATTATTTTTAACTAGCTGACCCGCGCAACTTCGTCTGCGTCTCTCAATAGTAATAAATTGTCTCCGTTTTTGAAACATTCTTCATTGGTGCTCCGCTCCTATTGGTCTTAACGTGATGATATATAGCCTTCCTCGATAAATGGGCTATCTAACACTGAAAGAATTTTTCAAATCGGACCTGAGATTAGCGCGTTCAAACAAACAAACAAACAAACTCTTCAGCTTTATAATATTAGTATAGATTAAGACGAGACGACATTGGTGCTAATACTTGTTCGAAAACTCTCTAAACTAAACTAAAAATCACTAAAAATTTGTTTAGTTCTGTCAAACAACGTTTCCTATTCCGAAAACGTAATATTTGACAGGACAAAGAATTTTTTTAGTGATTTTAGTTTAGTTTAGCGAGTTTCTGAACAACAGAATTAACACCAATGCCATTATTCGAAAACTCTAAACTAAACTAAAATTCACTAACTTAGTTTATAATTGCTTATTTGTTATTCTGTTGCGTACATTCTAAACGTCATAGTTTGACTAAAATTAGAAACGTCACACAAAACTCACATCTGTTTAAATATCAATTCTTTAATTTTTTATTGATGAATAGCGATTGTGTCCGTGTGGTGACGGATTAAGAATACAGAGTGTCACCACCCCTATTCATCCCGTGGGTGTCGACCGAAGGCGACTAAGGGAGCAAATTACGCAGGACAACAGCACTGCAGAGAGAAGGAAAACTTGAAACAAACCCTATACCCACCCGTCTGGCCAGCGTGGTATAGTAGGCCAAAACCTCCTTTCTAAGGAGGCCTATGTCCTGCAGTGGACTAGTAAAGGCTGTCGATGAATAGCGATTACGTGATTTTTCCTCTAGATATTATCATGTGTCTTATATGAATTATAAAAACATACGGATGAAATATTTTTAGTTACTATCAAGAAATCCTATGCTTGAAATATATTCAAGACGACTCTGATCCATTTGAAATTAGACAGAGGAGCTTAGTCTAAGGGAACTACTCATCACATTGAACCTTTATTACTCGCATCGATCAATAACCTGACCATTCAGGTTCCAAGCTTTCGTACGAAACTATAATTTGGGGGGGATAATGTCAGGGGCGGGGCTTGATCGATGCGTCACTATTTTCTAAAGAGACTATAGCTCCAGAAAAGTCTACTCCAAGGTTATAGTTTTGGTATATTAAGTATAAATTATATATCTATACCTATGTATACCCAGTAAATCTATGTAGTATAACATCTTGCAACTGACAACATTTTAAAATAATTTATCTCATCGGCTCCAATTATACACCTGCCACACACATCTTTGCATCACCTAAAGGTTGACTGGAAGAAAAGGCCTAATAAGTAATAATAACAGTAACTTCACACATCTCACACACGGTAGTCTGGTGCCAAACTAGGCAGAGCCTGTGCTATGGTAACCAATCTGCGGATAAACATACTTATGTATTTCTAAATACATACATATGATGGATAAATTACACCCAAACACAGTACACACACAATATTTGGCCTATGGCATTGAGTCCGCCTTATAAATATTCTTCAAAATTATAACCTTAATCAAATGTTATTCTGCAGTGCCTATCGATGTCTTCATCTCTTTGCTACGCCTTCCTATACATTACGCGCTACGAGGCCCATGGTGCGGGCGCAGGGTGGGCCCAGCTGTGGGACTCTCCAAGTGAGGGGGAGGATATGAGCATTGGGCTCGCCACTCTCATGATGCTGGTGGACGCGGTCATTTACTTCATTATAGGATGGCTCATCGATAGGTATTTTGGTACGTACATTATATAATTGTATCGTTTATAAATTTGTTGTGTGTGTGTAAATTGTGTATAAATTGCAAATTACATTGAGTAGTCTGCTAACTCTGCCTGAACAGTTAAGATCTTCTAAGCTAAATATTGACTGATGGGAACACGATCATTTGTATTTCTATTTAGAAATACATATGTATGTTTATGCGCAGTCTGGTTACCATAGTATACTCAATTCAATTCGTATATTTGACGTAAATGTACGTTTGTTTGTTGTTGAGACATATTTAGTCTTACTCAATTTATCAGCCATTAACAATTTTCAAATTAAGCAATAATATTAATTCCAAATAGGTATAAGAACTTTAAAAACAAACATCACTCACTGTACGACTACGAACGAGAAGGCTGGCGTGAGCATCCTCAACGTGTCGAAGGTCTATAATGAGAGGTCACGCAGACCAAAGCTGGCTTTAGACAATGTGTCTATCGAGCTGCACAAAGGGCAGATCACGACCCTGCTGGGACACAACGGCGCTGGTAAAACTACTTTAATGTAAGTATTTAGTAAATCGCTTTCATAAATCTTAAAAATAGCATTGGCTCGAATAAACTAATTCTGAAACGATTGAAACGTTGGCTCGAAGGACCAAAAGATAATGCACAGTCTAGTTCTTTTGTTGCAACAACAAGCATGATCTAGCATTAATATACACGTAAAGGAAAGTGATACATGGCTCGAAGGGCCAACACGATGTAAATACCTACCTACTTGGACGGTGTTAGTGTTGTAAAACCCTAAAACAGTAAGTCTCATTATTTATATAAAATGATCGTTTAAAACACAAATTAAAAACAAGACATACCATTATGTATTTATGATGTTTTTGCACCTTACTGGTATGTTTAGTCATAATTAAGATTTTTTTACAAATAAAGAGAAGTTATGGTTTTTTTTTTGGAAATCGCCACTTTTCCCTTTTTTTCCTTATACTGATAGTAGTATTTCTACATTAAGAAATTCAGCCTTGAATATGAATTATTTGTTTTTCAGTAACATACTAACAGGCATGCTGAAACCCACTAAAGGCCATGTGATCATACGGTCGGAGCGTGAGGCCGGCACGCGCCTAGGCGTGTGTCCGCAGCACGACGTACTCTTCGAGCACATGAGTGCGCGTGAGCATGTCATGCTTTATGCTCAACTCAAGGGGGGACATGGCAAAGGGGAGCTGCAGGCTGAGGTTGACAAGTGAGTTCTTTCAAAAAATATTCAAATTATTATAAATTATTCCAAAGAATATATAATTTTTGGAGTAATGGATGTTACGTCCCTTGAACATAGAGTCTCGGTCCTGCGACCAGGCGAGGTGATCATTCCTGTCGTTCTAACCGTTGATATGAATATAATGACATGTATACATACATCGACGCAGAAATTTCATTGTGCAATATAGGATTAGTAATAACTCTGTAGTTCTGTCTTCATGAAATGGGAGTATTTTTCGTTGTATATGTATCGCAACATATTAATGTGATTTAAAATTTATATGAAAACCAATGTAACCTATCATCATCATCATCAACAGCCTTTAACAGTCCACTGCTGGACATAGGCCTCTCCTTAGAAAGGAGGTTTTGGCCTACTATACCACGCTGGCCAGACGGGTTGGTATAGGGTTTGTGTCAAGTTTTCCTTCTCTCTGCAGTGCTGTTGTCTTGAATATATCGCTCGCTTAGTCGCCTTTTACGACACCCACGGGATAAATAGGGGTGGTGGTGTGGTGACGGATTAAGATGTAACCTAAACCACTGCAATTATATTGATTTGCCCTATAATGATAGGAGTGCTTCCTTATCTAAAGAGTAAAAGCCTTATCTTAAGGTACTTCTGACAACGTGTATATATTATAAAACATAATTCTAATAAACAATAATTTGCAGGATGCTAGAAGTGCTGTCCCTAGGCCCTGTGTCCTCAGAGCTGGTGTGTCGACTATCGGGCGGCACTCGGCGGCGCCTGTGCGTGGCGCTGGCCTTCGTAGGCGCGCCGCACCTCGTGTCGCTCGATGAGCCCACTGCTGGGGTCGACCCGGCCGCTAGAAGGTATGTCCTCCCCATTTGGTTGTATGATGATGCAACAACAAGTCAAATCTGTAAATAAGACCAGTCCTGGGCTCGAGCTGCTTTGTTCATCGGTTTTGCGTTTTAAATTATTGGTACAATCTGGCCTTCGCCGTGTATCTTATGTATATATATAGAATACCACATCTTATGATAGAAGATGATTCTATTAGGATCACCCCATACTTAAATAATCTGAGCCTGCTCTATCTCACCCTTTTAGAACTTTACCCTAACGTGGTACTGTAAGTTCCAATACAACAAAGACATAACATCTTTTTACATGATGATGATATTTTGTTGTAATCTGGGACTAACTAGTATTGAAACTAAATAATAAATTCAGTATTGTTTCCCAACAGAGACATCTGGTCAATGATAGTGAAGTTGAAAGAAGACAAGACGATACTAATGACGACTCATCACCTCGACGAGGCAGAACTGCTGAGTGATCAGATCGTGATAATGCACAAGGTTTGTACTTGAAAAATAGATAACGGCCTTAGTTCCATCAAAATCCCAGAAGTTAATACTCCAATAGGGTATTTTAGTCTTTTAATATTTATATTTAAAGGATAAAATCTCAAGTAAAATGTAAAGAGTATGTAAAAAGTTAAATTTGTTGTTACGAAAGTTTTCAACCACATAGGTGTTTCGAGTTTTGGATACTGCAGAACCAAGAAATAGTTTGTTGAGCAGTCGAAGCACAATTGAGATTCTGAAATTTTACTGAACGGAGTAGTATTTTGGCTTTGAGATATATTTTCGACGGAGTTCACATTATATTTCATAATAGATGCTAGCCATATTTTAGGGTGTATGCATCCAGTACCATTTAAATAGAATTCGGTAATCACCTTTACAATCGACGAATGTTACCAAACACATATTAATGATGCAGGGTCAAATCCACACAACCGGATCACCAATCGAAATTAAACGAACCTTGGGGAACGGTTACAAGCTGACAGTGATGTATCCAGAGAGAGCTGATATCAACGAAATGACAGAAGAGATTAATCAAGAGGAGAAGACAAAACAGCTCCTGACAGTGGTCAGGGATGTGGTAAAGAACGCCAACGTGATTGATGTCAATGAACTTGAGGTGGAGATTGGGTTGCCATTTTTCGATATGAACGGATTGAATAATAAGTAAGTGTTGTACGGTTAAATGTTATGTTGCTTTAAAGGTTATGCACACATGTGACGACCGAATGTCGTAGTGGTTTGTGTAACGGACTGCTATTCCAAAGATCGCGGGTTCGATTCCCGCTCAAGTCAAACATTTGTGTGCATGAACATTTAATGTTTGATTTGGTCTGGGTGTTTCTATGTATAATATGTATGTATTTACAAATATATATGTAGCCATAGTACAAGCTCTGCTTAGTTTGGGACTAAATGGCGGTGTGAATGTGGTAGAAGATTATTATTATTACTATTATTTATTGACGTATAATAAGCGTGCCATGAAAAACTTTTTATTTGGTGACGGGTGGGAAATCCCTTCTGATCTCCGGCTGCTAGGGGACGCAGGAGCTAGTAGTATGTGGTGTTTAAACTAAAAATCGATGCCGTACTGAACTAGTCCCTATCCCGAGGAAGCTTGAGGCTTCTCCCCTATTATCACTAAGTGACCCATAAAAGACCTAGGATTACATTTTAGCCTTTTGAGGTTAGCTGAGTAGCCTGTTCCTCCAACGCAAAGGGAGGATCCTCCGACCAGGCGCGGTGATCATGCCTGGTAGGCAGCGGCTCTACGGTTGCTGTTGGAAAATTATATGTATGCTAATCGGCGAGAGAATTATTAATATCGCGATACAGGATTAGCAGTGACTCCGTAGTTCGGTATGTCTACGGTAGATGGCGCTGTAGTATGTGTCTTATTTCACCGTATGTGGAAGTCGCCACATATCTTAGCCGTTTAGATTTCAATTATATATTATAATATACATTTGCACACAGCTATCTGAACTACAAGTAAAGATAAATTATGTCCTTCCAGCTTTCTACAGTTGTGTTCAGTGCTGGAAGCTATTCAACCAGCTCTGGGTTTCAAGAGCTTTACAATGGACTGCAGCAGCCTGGAGCAGGTGTTTTTCAATGTCTGCCAACAAGCAGATACTCCTCTGACTAATATTGAGTACAGTAAGTGAACAATCAACTAATTAATCAAGATGCAATGGATCCAGACGCTTTTATGACTTTATTTTACCGAAGTGGATTACACTGGGAGAGCCATGCTTCGGCACGAATGGGCCGGCTCAACCGGAGTGATACCACGGTCTCACAAAAAACCGGTGTTAAGCAATTCTTTCGTTGCTTTTCACTGAGTGAGTGAGGTTACCGGAGCCCAAATCCAAATCCCGCTGACTCGAGCGTGAGGGACTCCAAGGGCAGCAACGCACTTGTGACTTTTGGGTTGCAGGTGTCCATGGGCGGCGGTAGTTGCTTACCATCAGGTGACTCATCTGCTCGTTTACCCCCTTATACCATAAAAAAAACACTGGGTATATCGGTATCGAATACAATTTTTTCAACTTTTAGAATCATTACATCTCAGAAACGGTGGCTCTTATGAAAAAAAGTATTGAGACATTTTTCTACAATTTTGACCTAATTTAATGATAAAACTTATCGTTTTGCTAAAAAACCTGAAATATCCTTTTTTGAGACCTTTATTTTTATTTATTTATTTATACTTTATGCACAAATGTGACAAAGGCGGACTTAATGCCGTAGGCACTTTCTCCCAGTCAACCTTAAGGCGATGCAGAGCTAAAACATGGGAGATGTACAGAAATTAAAACTGATTTTATGAAAAATATAGCATATATAGGATATATAGTACTTATAAAAATTACCTCTGACTTTTCATAAAAAAAAAATCTAGGCACGGGATCGACGGAGACCTTTCAGTTTATTGTAGCTTCACTACTTATTTTAGGGCTAATTTGACCAGATTTAAATTTTACTCCAGCGTCATCAGAAAGCTTTCCATCAAAGAGTGCATCTAGTTCAAGCATCAGGACGGACCGCACACCACAACAGTTAGTACCACCCGAGGGACCAATGAAAGGCTCCGCTTGGGAGCAGTTCCTTGCACTAATGTACGCCCGATACCTGCATCATATCAGAAACAGGTAAGTTTCGAACTCACATCAACAGCCTATACTAGTCCACTGCTGGACATAGGCCTCTCCTTAGAATGGAGGTTTTGGCCTACTATACCACGCTGGCCAGACGGGTTGGTATAGGGTTTGTTTCAAGTTTTCCTTCTCTTTGCAGTGCTGTTGTCCTGCTTAGTTTGCTCCCTTAGTCGGCTCTTACGACACCCACGGGATGAATTGGGGTGGTGACAATTTGTATTCTTAATCCGTCACCACACGGATAGTTACAGATAGTTTCGAACTCATTTATTCTATATCTCAATGCATTCCCGACCTTAAACACGATTATATTCAGATCAAAATAACTAAATTACTCAAACGTTTGACCTCTATGAAGAAATAACTCTACTTGCCGATGTTTTTCTGGTCCTGTTATGCACCCCTGAAAGTGAAAATTTTTATGCTGATCAGTTGAGTAAATAATCCGTGAAAGCGTAACAAACAAACTGACATTTCCATTGATAATATCTGAAGGAACTGTATGGGCATGGTTTCCTTACACACGTGGGTAGGTGACGTCGACGACGGTGGGTAGGTCATAAATAAAATTACCCTACCATTAAATAATAACTTGTTCTTCTATGCTTAATCACTATAAATCGACTGCATTCAATATAAGTGTATAATCCTCAGTGATTGCTCGGGAATAAGCGATTGGTCCTAAGCGTAGTACGTCGGCGACTGTTGTTTGAGTTCTGTCGTACAAGATGGCCGCCTCGCCCCTTAATTTCACAGCAACAGCCTTTAATAGTCCACTGCTGGAGATAAGTCTCGCCCTAGAAAGGAGGTTTTGGCCCACTATACTACGCTGGCCAGACGGGTTGGTATAGGGTTTGTGTCAAGTTTTCCTTCTTTCTGCAGTGCTGTTGTTATGCGTAGTTTTCTCCCTTAGCTGGCTCTTACGACACCCACGGGATGAATAGGGGTGGTGACACTCTGTATTCTTAATCTGCCACCACACGTTTCGCTAAAATTACAGCTGTCACTCTAACCTGACGTAACGAATGTTGCCCTAAGCCTAACAGGCTTAGGGAAACAGTTAGTGACACGTATCAATCAGGATTTTTGTATCAAATGTTGCTAATTTATATGGTACTGATGGTGGGCTCGTGTATTTATGTCGTCCGCATTTAGACTCAAGAACGGTCCTTTAAACGTTGAGGTGAGGTTGGCTAAGTGAGCCAAACTAGCTCATTCCAGAAGCACAGAAGCGTCCTTGGTCGTTCACAGGCTTCTAGCCTTCCAGAATTATTACATAAACGAACCTTTCTTCTGCTTTGAGACAAAGCAAAGGGAACTGTCTGTCGCATTAATGATAAATAATTGTCGGCAAGGCTAGATGTTTGTTTATAAATATAGTTATGATCCTCCAGATGGCTCCTGTTCATGCTGATCATCCTGCCATCACTGTTCGTGACCATCGCTATGGGCTTCTCCATGCTGCGGCCACCGGCAGACAACGAGATATCGCTCAAACTTGACAGGAACCTTTACGTGAACACCACGGATTTTATTGTGTGAGTACCTGTTATATTGCCAACACAATGGACTATGGACATTTTTAACAATACTAAGAAAGTCTACCTTTGCCATGTATAAAAAACCTGATGACTGTGGAAGAGATGTGAACTGTAAGTCAGGATCGTGGCAAGTGGCATTCTATAGTCTCTGCATATCCCGGACGAGAATGATGAGTGAGTGCACGTTCCACATAACTCTTGTTTCACATCAACAGCCTTTAACAGTCCACTGCTGGACATAAGCCTCTCCTTAGGTATAACTCTTGTTTATTTTATGGTATAGGGAGCAAACTAGCAGACGGGTCACCTGATGGTAAGTGCCTACCTCCGTCCATTGACAGTCAAGAGTCACAAAGGTGTTACCGCCCTTTGCGTCCTCTCCTCAGAATCAGAGGAAGGAGGGGTTTAGTCTCTGATAACCGCACTCACTCTATGAAAAGACGAAATAATTGATTAACTCCAGTCGAGCTGGTCCTTCTGTGCCAAAGCATGGTTTCACTCTCTTTTAAGGAATAGCTTCGTATATAAACAAGATAGAAATTACTCTCAAGCGTAATTTCTTTTTTTTTAGACCTCGTCCGTCCAAGAGCTCCAAGACCATGGACGCATCATTTGCTGAGCGCATCATGGAACATTTGATGGGGGGCAGACACATTAAAAACTGGACAACAGAAGTACGTACATCATATTTCATCAAACTTCTAACAAGGGGTCTTAATCCTGTTTGTTTGTTCTTATTTTGTTACCTCAGAAATCCGTCATTTATGACCCCATTTGGATTTTTTTTAATAAGAAGGGTAATCTTTCTGTTTAGTCAAATTCAAATTTGAAGTAAAAAAATCGGTTGTCTGTAAAGTCGGTTTACTGACGATAGTTGAATGTGACAACGTCATAAGAAAATACTGATGGAATGGTAGCATTTTTCAAACATGTATTATTGTATACGAGTAGTAGCTGTCCACGCGGACGCATCGCTCAGTCAAGTAGGAGAGAGACAGATGTCGAACGCTGCCGAACGCGGAGGCCGATTGTGCCTCTTTGTCACTCGTTTCGCGCTCTCGCTTGCACTTCACGCCTTAAATGGAAGGCCTCAGAGCGAGGTAACGCCGCATGAGTCATGTTTTTTCGTGCGTGCAGTCGGCTCCATCGAATTATAAGACGTTGTCACGTCAAAAATACTACCTCTAAGGGTGGAAAATTAAAGAAAAGAGAAAAAAGATTCTGTAACATTTCATTGTGATGCATTTATTTTTTGATACATCATTTATTCAATAAAGTATTCTATAACAGGACTCGCCTACATGTGAATGTCACCCCAAACATCAAGTATGCAACGCAATACCGAACATGACAGTGTTGCCGGACATGATGGCGCTGCCTGACGTGAACAGCCTCAACAAGTGGCTAGTTGATACACAGGAGATATTTATTGAAAAGAGGTATGGTCTCCTTATTAGACACATTATTTTGAATTTCATTTTATTGAAGAAAAAAAGACGAATTATTTTTTCAAAATAAAAGCAGCCCAAGTTTTTCCTCAGCGTCGTGTAAATCGGTTAATTCTAGAGATTATCCGGGACAAACAAACTGGGTTCAATTTATTTAATGATTTTTCAATAGAGATTCCTTGAAGTGTTTTCTTCCCATGTTTGTACGATTAGTAAAAAAACTGTATTGATTAATTATTTGATCCCTCGCCCTTATTTATTTTTACACACTTTATATTAGCTTGACTTGTATGTTTGTATGTTTGTTTATAACCGACTCCTTTGGGTGTGATTTTGAGTGACTTTAAACGGTCAGAATTCGTTCAAACTTTGTAGATATATCGAGGACCGATGACAATACACTAATTTAAAAAAAAAAAAAAAATTGTCATCGGTCGGAGTCGGTCGGAGTGTCAAGGAGTTGGTTACAAACATACAAACAAACATACAAGTGAAGCTTATATAAAGCGTGTAAAAAGCACCACACGCTTTTTTTCAAATTTATTAAAATTTATTTTCTATTTTTAGTTTGGTTTTCTATAAAAAACGTGTTTTTTAGTTTTTTAACTCAAACAAGTCAAACGACTGCAACTTTTTCTTGCAGGTACGGAGGCTATTCATCATCCCTTAAGAACGATGTAACAAACCTGGTGGTGTGGTACAACAACAAGGGCCACCACGCGATGGTGTCGCACCTCAACGCGCTCAACACGGCGATACTGCGCGCGCGCACTCACACGCCGCGCGCCTCCATCACCACCTACACGCACCCTCTCAAGATCTCTAAAGAACAACTCAGTAAAGCTACCGTGTAAGTTAACTTGAAAGGTGTTTAATGTTGAAAAGGCTGGTTTTAATATCTCATAAATTATCAACAGCCTTTCATAGCCCACTGTGCCACATAGAACTCTCCTCAGAAAGGTTTGGGCCTTCTTTACCAGGTTGGCCAGGCGGCTTGGTATAGGGTTTGTGTTAAGTTACCCTTCTCTTTGCAATGCTTTTGTTCTTTTTAGTTTGTTCTCTTTAGTCGGCTCTTACGAAACCCACGGGGTAAATAGGGGTGGTGACACTCCGTATTCTCAATCCATTACCACATGGACACTTTAAAATGTAATCTCTCCGAAATTTCACTCTACAAATTTCATTTTTCACATAAATTACATTTCCTCAGATACCAACATATAGCAGACGCTGGAATCTCAGGTCTGCTGCTAATAGCTTACGCGCTGATCAGCGCTGGTGCTGCCATCTACCTGGTGTCGTCTCGCCGGAGTCAGGAGAAGCGGCTGCAGTTACTGTGTGGCGTTAGCCCCTTGCTGTATTGGACCACAGCCCTTGTATGGGATATGTTGGTATGCATTTTGTTATGTAAAATTTGCTATATGCCCAGTGGTCCCCTTTAGTACCGTACCGCCGGTTGACAACTATTGTTCCCAGCTGTCACCCGGATGACAAATTTTTCCAACTGTTCAGTTCCGATTGACTGCACGTATGGCGTAGTGGTTTAAGCGGTCGCCACGCCGCTTTCTAGTACGCCGATTGTTGTGGGTTCAAACCCCACATAGGACGATACTTTGTGTGATCCACAAATTGTTGTTCTGAGTCTGGGTGTTCTTTGTGTCCGTTTCATGTATGTTTGTAAAGTTCCCAGCGACACAGGATATATTCCTAATTCCTAAAACAACTGGTAACTTTTTTCTCAAATGTCACCCCATAAGTTAGTGGAATTGAACCCCAGTGGGACAGTGCTAGAAGGGACTACTGGGAATAATAGCAAAATTTTGTACTGCTTTCTATATGTAAATTGGTTATTTTATATTCATTATGGATTTATATAAATGTTTTTGGCAATGATAATTGTTGGTTGTTTTTATTATTAAATCAGGTACCATTAAAAAACTGTCTTTTTAGATAATGGCAATCAACATGGGTATCACTGCAGCAGTTATGGTTGCTTTTGGCTTCCCCGTGTTCGTCTCGAGGAATAATCTACCAGCTATATGCATAATGTTTCTTCTGTATGGGTAAGTTGAATTTGCTTTATTGGCATTATATGTAACTATGCCAGGTATATGTCTGGAATAATTAGCATTATGATTCAATACGTGGGAGAGCCTTTCTTCAGCACAAATGGTCCGGTTCGCCCGGAGTGATACCACGGCCTCACAGAAAACCAGTATTCTTTCGTTACTTTTAAAAGCGGCGGTAGCCTAGTGGTTAAGGCGTTGGACTTGCGATCAAGAGGTCTTGGGTTCGAATCCTGACGAGTACAGTAAAGTCCTAACACAAGCAATTTAGTTTAGCTGGAGGTGTTAACGGGAATACTAGTAATTTCGGTTGCTAGTAAACCTTTCGGGTTACAAGCCCAATCACCGTTTCCCCCTGATTCCGGTGGGAGGCCTCAAAGGGCGGTAACGTATTTGTGTCTCTCGAGTTGAAGGTGTCCATGGTCGAACGTAGTCTCTTACCAGCAGTCGTCCCATCTGCTCGTTTGCCATCCTATGCCATAAAAATATTGGCCACAACTCAACGGGTTGTGTGTGATGCTGTACCGTTTTTACACTAAAAGCAAGATAATGACAGATGAACGTAAAGGAATGAATGTCAATCACTATAAATTGCAGTCAATTTAGCTTATTCAAAGAAACGTAGGTATAGGATTCGTCGAGAGGATCCAAGGAGTTGGGCTTTACATTAAAAGCAACAGTTTTAAAGATAAATAATAGGTCTTTACCTATGAAATTGCCGTTTTGTATGCAATAAGTGAAAGTACTTATTTTTTCAAACTTTCGTCGGTAGGTGCAAGGTCTGGTGAGTACCAAGCAACCAGCTTTAATCAATCGGTCGTCCCCACTGCTCCTTCACGACAACGCGCGACCCCATACTGCGCAACAAACAGTCTCTAAGCTGCAAGAGCTGGGCTTGGAAGCTCTCCCTCATCCGCCATACTCGCGAGACCTTGCACCTACCGACTATTACTTTTTCCAAAATTTAGACAACTTTTTAGTGGGTAAAAAATTCAATTCCCGAGAGGCAGTACAAAATGCCTTTGAAGAGCTTGTTGCCTCTCGTCCAGCAGATTTTTACAAGAAGGGCATCAATAAACTGCCAATGCGTTGACTGCATAGGTGATTACTTCTAATAACAGAAATAAAAAAAGTTTGAAAAAATAAGTACTTTCACTTATTACATACAAAACGGCAATTTCATAGGTAAAGACCTATTATACCTATATATAAGTATAATATTGTACCACATTCACACAACGCCATATAGTCCCAAACTAAGCAGAGCTTGTATTATGGGTACTAGACAACTGATATAAATACATATATACTTTCTTTTTGTAAATACACACGTATTATACATAGAAACACCCAGACCAAGTCAAACATTAAATGCTCATGCACACAAATGTTTAACTTGATCGGGAATGGAACCCGCGACCTTTGGATTAGCAGTCCGTTTACACAAACCACTACGCCATCCGGTCGTCATTCAACTATATACATAACTAGTATTACTAAATAAATTTATATAAATATTTATATTTCTAAATAAATTAATTTAATTTGATTTTAAAATTATGTACTTGAGAATATAATCTGCAGAAACTAAAAGGTAAATTTTTAACAGATACGCCTGCGGAAGCTTGATTCACGTAGCAGAGAAGTTGTTCTCGGAAGCAAGTATGGCGAACATGGTTCTATTCTGTGGCAACGCCTTCCTTGGTCTTTCGTTTATCGCCATACTCCTTATATTTGACGTAATTTCCGAGTCAGAGGTAAGGACATTAATTAATATTTAAAAAAAACTGATAATATATTATATTATCTGATCACTTAGTAATACAGAAGAACCTTCTATGTTCATAAATAAAAGTCGTGAGGATATATGCATGCAACGTATTTATAGTGCAACGCCATCTATCAGCAATATGCTTAACTACGGAGTAAGTCCCAATCTTGTATTGCGCAATGAGAGTTTTTCAACTGAACTTGTGGGGAACAGCCCGCCAGGCGTGGTCATTATCATTATATAATATATAATTTTTGGAATTAGATGGAAAATTTTGGAGTGTCAGAATATTTTTAATTTTGAAGATCATAGCTTTCCCTTAAAATATATCAACAAAATGTTTTACACCCATTCTCTCAAATAAAGTGCTTGATTGACTTACAGGAAAGGGATATTGTTAACACAGATGGCGATGTAAGGAATAGCTTCAACATATCAGGGTTATATAGTTGTAATTTGAACTGACCTGTTACCGGTTACCTGATCCTGACATCGCTATATTTTTGCTCCTAAAGGGACGTTATAGTGTAAATATTCGTAGTCAAATAACTGGTTAAGAGTCTATTGTAATGTTCTCCAGGAGACAGACAACGCCCGTTACGTGTTGCATAAGATCTTTTTACTGGCGCCGCAGTTCGCGTTGGGAGATGGACTTTTGGAGATAGCCAAGAACACCATACAAGCTCAGGTTCGTAGTATCTTTTTTTACACTATTTAACCTCATACTTAAAGAAGCTTTTGAGTAATTTGTTCCTCCGGTAAACAAGGTCCCCACCACTTCTCAAGCTTAACTAGTTCTTGAATATTGTTTCCAGGTGCTAGGCCGCTTCGGCATGGACACATACCAAGATCCTCTCGGAACCAACCTGATCACTTTGCACTACTCGTACTTGGCACTCGTGGGCACAGCGCTCATGCTGCTCAACTTGGCTATCGAGTACAATTGCTTCGAAGGTCTGCTCGTCAGGTAAGCTGCGTTCATTGACATTAATACCATGTAATCGATTCCTTCGATTTCCTGACACCAGGCAGTTCTAACTACAGGTATACCACTCTTAGTTGCTCGAACCAATTCTTACCGACACTGGTGGATACACGGATGGCGTAGTGGTTTGAGCGGTCACCACGCAGCTTCCTGAGTATTGTGGGTTCGATCCCTACATGAGACAAAACTTTGTGTGGTCCACAAACCATTGTTCTGAATCTAGGTGTTCTGTGCGTAAGTTTCAAAAGTGTATGTTAAGTCCCCTGCGACACAGGATATATTCCTAATCCGGGATTTTTAAAAGAAAAGAAAATACACCGTCATCAGCTTACTTACCTCCAGCTTAGCAGTCAGAGTCACTAGCCACTAGACCAACAGCCAGTCAGTCAGAGTAAATACTAATATATATATATATATATTTTACTTTACAAACATACATGAAACGGACACAAAGTACACCCAGACTCAGAACAACAATTTGTGGATCACACAAAGTGTTATTCCATGTGGGGTTTGAACCCACAACACTCGACGTAATAGGAAGCGGCGTGGCGACCGCTTAAACCACTACGCCATCCGTGCAGTCAAATAATAAACATTATTCATACTAAACCACTTATTTCTTATGATATATTTTTTGTGCGGGTAATTAAGATAAAAAAAATAAGTGACTAGATATCTAAGTGAAGTGCATGAATGGAATATCTCTAAGTTTAAACTTATTTATCGACAGGTTCCGTTCAGTGAGCATTCCACCACCAGTTCCTGGGGAACTGGAGCCAATAGAAGTGACTGAAGAAAGGAAGAGAGTGCACTCCACTCGCCTTCAAGCTGAGCCCACGATACACGGCGTTAGCACCATTGGAAATATCAACAGAGGTATGATAGTTCATGCCACGAACAGCCAAATTTATTGGCAGAAGATTTTATTCAAACGGCAAAAAAAATATCATTGATTTAATTTAAAAAAAACACATCGCTTCCAGGTTACGTGCATACGGAAGGTTTCAAAAACTCAATCCAGCGTGTTGTGGCGCCACTGAGTGACGTGGCGCAGTGCGTGGCGCTCAGCAAGGCGTACCGCGGAGTGCGCGCACATACCGTGGCCCTGCGGGACCTCACGCTGGGCATTCTGCCCTCTCAGGTACCTTTCAAAATATGAAAATGTAAATGAAGCGTTGTGTTAATTATAACCGCAAATTCACTAACATAAATTGTAGTAAATTCTCTGAAGAAGTCGTTAGACTCATTCTAAATTTTTACCTTCTTACTGGACTGTAGTAGTCGGGGGACCTTTCTTTCATCATCAATAACATAACCTCATGCAAATTACTACAAATATACTGTCGTAACGTTCACTAACTATAGTTAGGCTAGGCTATATAGACTACTGCCTACCATTAAAAATTATTATTCTAATTTAAATTATTTTGACAGTGCACCGCTCTTTTGGGTCAAAATGGTGCGGGCAAGTCGACTACCTTCTCGCTGCTGACTGGAGAAATCCGACCCACGTCCGGACAAATCTACCTCAACAACAAAATTGTTAACTCCACTCAACTTTGTACCGGCCTTATTAGTAAGTAAATATTTATTAAGTAGGTACTTATTTTATTTTATTGAGGAACAAACTGTCATTTACATGACATGACTAAACATGTTTGTATGTTCTGATAGACCTAATAGTTCCCTAAATATCTAGATCAAGTTTGTGATACATATAACATTTGGCCAAGATTTTGAGTCGGCGCCACTTCCATTATTATATCGCTGAAGGGTTTGGCTTGTTGGGTTTGTTACTTTTATGATTGGCCGTGTGCCTGATCCTAACCCTCCTTGGGAATGAAGGCTATTTTAAAACGGGACAAAGGATAAAGGTAATCGGGGGTCAGAAAAACGGAAAGGGCGAAGAAGACAGGATAAGAGTACGAGAAATGTAGGATGGGAAACGAGACCAAAACTGTATTAGTTTGAAGAAGCCGAGCTGACGAGCCCCTATGTCCGTCCTGAAGAAGCCACTAGGACTGACATTTACTGGCTATTATCCTTCATTCTCCTTCTCTTTCTTTTTTATTTAGACTCATCGTTCCTTAGATTTAACTTGACGAATATATTTATGGATTCTCATTCGCAGGTTATTGCCCTCAAAGTGACGCAATTGATTCACTTCTGTCGGTGACAGAAATTTTAAGGTTCTACTGTCGACTGCGTGGCATCACGGATTACGAACAGGTACTCACCTTAATCTGATTTGAACTTGACAAGGTTCAGACCACTCGAACTAGACCCTAGAATGATTATCATCAGCCTATCGCCGCAACTCACTTACTTTCTTGAAGTTACTAAGTTTGCCAAATCGCGGTCTCCACTCTAGCACAGACCATCTGGAGACATGATCGGCCGATTTCCACTTTAGCGTAAGGATTTTTTAAAAGGTGTGTACGAATAACCATAAATCTGGTGATGGCAGGTGGTAGCGCGTGCCCTGGACATGTTCGAGCTGGTCCAGTACGCGCACGTGCGAAGCGGTGCGCTGTCGGGCGGGAACAAGCGCAAGCTGTGCGCCGCCGTAGCATTTATGGCGCGCACGCCGCTAGTGCTGTTGGACGAGCCCACCAGGTATGTGACCTAGCCACATTTCTACGAGGTCAGATTGCGTTTTGTTATAATCAAAATTGAACTTCAACTGTCAGACCTGACTAGAGGATTCGATCCCGGTCGATTTTTATAATCCCGGGATTTTTGGGGATTTTTCCACTTTTCTGGGGCCCCGGGTTTCCCGGGGAAAAGGGTTTAACCGGGAAATTTTTTTTTGAAAATTTTTTGGAAAAAGTTTTTTTAAACCAAAAAGGGGGAAAAAAATTAAAAAAAAAAAATTCCCCAAAAAATTTATTTTTTTTTGGTTATCATTTTTAAGGTTTTTTTTTTAAAAAAAAGGAAAAACAAAAAAGAAAAAAAAAAAAAACCCCGGGTTTTAAAATTTTCCAAAAAACCAAAACAAAATTTTTCTTTTAAAAATTTTTAAAAAAAATTTGACCTTTTTGGGTTTTCCCGGGTTAAATTAAAATTATGAAAAAATTTTAAATTTTAAAAAATTAAACCGGGCCCCGGGATCCAAAAAAACCTTTTTTTTCGCCCCAATGTTTTAGCCACCTATATAATTTTTAAAATTAAAATCCCCAGAAATTTTTAAAACCCCTTTTTACCAAAAAGTTTTTTTATTAGCAAAAAACAAAAAAAAGGGGAAAATTTGCTTTAAAACAATAAGGTATGCCGTTTTTTTTAGCCTTTTTATTTTTAATAAAAAAATTTAATAAATTTTAAAATTAAATTTTTTTACTTATAGGGGACCTTAAAATTTAATTAATTTCAAAGTTGAAAGGGTTTTTTTAAATTTAAATATTAAAAAATTTAAAAATTTTTTTTTTAAAAAAAAAAAAAAATTTTTAGTAAAAAAACCCCCAATGGGGCCCCCGGCCCTTTACCCTTTTTTTTCCCTTTTTTTTTCCTCTGGCCCCCAAAAAATTAAGCGGGGGGGGTTTTTGTTTTAAAAAAGCCTTTAAAACAAAAAGGCCCCCCGCCCTGGCGCGGGGCCGGGGGCCGGGTCGGGGGCCGCTGTGCGTGCCCCTTGGCCGTGCCGGTGGGTTTGGTTTTGGGCCCCGGTTTTGGGGCCCCCAAAAACCTGGACAAGCGGGGTCCGGCAAGGGGCCTTTTTTCCAACCCGGATCGTTCCGTTTGACACCTCACCCCCCTTTAATGGGTACGTTAAACTTGGTTTTAAAAAGGTTTTAAAACAGATTATGAATAAAAGAAAAATTAATTTCAAAGGGTTTTCCCCCAAAATTTTTAACCTTAACGTATTTTGTAATCCCCCCTTTAATACCCTTTGGTCCACTGTAAAAAATTGGCTTTTTTTAGTTAAAAAATTTTAATATTGGATATTTGAAAAGAAAAAAATTTTAATTTTCAAAAAGGGGGTTAAAAATTTATTAATTATTTTTAAAAAAAATTAAAAATTTCCAAAAAAATTTGGCTTTTTCAATTTTACAAAAAATGAAAAATTTAGATTAAGAAAAAAACAGTTTTTAATTTTCAAAAAGGAAAGGTATTTTTTTTTTTTTAAAAATATTTTCCCAAAAAAAAATTTCATTTCATTTAAAAAGGAAACACAACGAAAGGGGTTTGTATCGCAAAAATTTTTTGGGGAGGGCCATCAAGGACGGCCAGGGCTTTTTCAGCTTTTTTCCCAAATTCCAAAAAAAACCCTTTTTTTAAAAAAAAAATGTTTTTGGTTTTTTTTTTTTTTTTTTTTTTTTTTAAAAATACAAAAAAAAGTAAGGAAAATTGCCTTTTTTTTTTTTAAAAAAATATTTTTTTTTTGAAAAAATAGATTTTAAAAAGTTTTAAATTTAACCCAAAGTTTTCAAATAAAGTCAACTACCCTATTCGGTAAATCGTTGGTGGCCCCAGGTTCGGTGGCTGGGGCTCCCCTCGGGGCCAGGCCCCCGCGGGGCGCGCTCGGCGCGCGCTGCGTGGCGCCGACTGCGCGCGCGCGCCCCGCACGCGTCTCTGCGCGTGCTGCAACCAGCACACGCTGCACGTGCTCATACCTACACACGCCACGGGTAAGTACTGCCACGTATGTGGTATGAAAACCTAATAAATAACGCTTCTAATATCTCCGGGTGGAACTTTATTCTAGATGTCCTGACTTAGCTTACAACTGATGCTGATGGTTCTTTACCTATACAGGTGTCCTAAGTTCAACGATAATCCGTCACCAGATGGTGGACCTGTTTATGACTACTCGAGGAAAAATATAAAAAAATTGTATCTCAATTTTATTTTTAATTATTTTAATTGAAGCATATTTGGTGCACAGAAGCTGAAACATTTGAAATGCTTATTGTTAATATCAGAAGAAATGCGCAAAGCTAAGATGGTTGAAAAAAAAACTATAGGAATCCAGTATATATGATGACCTGTCATAGTACAAAAGTTATAAAGTGACCATTTAAGTTATAGTCACCTTAGAAAGTAGGTTTTGGCCTACTATACCACGCGGGCCAGACTGGTTGGTATAGGGTTTGTTTCAAGTTTTCCTTCTCTTTACAGTGCTATTGTCCTGCGAAGTTTGTTTCCTTAGTCGGTTCTTACGACACAAAACGGGATGAATAGGGGTGGTGACCCTCGGTATTCTTAATCCGTCACCACACCGACACAACAGACAATAAAGTTAATCATTACTGTTTTTTTAGTGGATAACAAGGATATCGTAACAAACTGAGCGACATCTACCGGCTGATGGCGGAGCTTCAATCCACTTGTGATATTGAGGATTATACTGTCAACCAGAGTTCCCTCGAACAGGTGAATATGAGCACTTTTTTACCACTACCAACTAGAACAAGTTTTTAAATTGAGTGTCGTAATTTGTGTTTTTTTCTTGTAACGTTTATGCAACGCTATCTAATTCCCTATATATACATATGAATATATATTTTTTCTGTACATATAGTATATAGCTCGCTTATCTATGTAAAGTTTTGTACTACCTATATGGGTTTTAAACTTATATAAAACTTTTTTTTTTCACGCGGGGATCGCTTTTTTTTAGTAATACATACACATTATCCAACACGTGTATAAAAATAATTGCACTGAACGAGTATCGAACCCTTCGCACCCTTGAACTATATAGTTTAATCGCTGTTTTCGGATTTTATTTGAATTAAAGACTATGTATACGATAGGTCTATAATAGGTGTTTGCATGGATACTACGCTACCCGTAGTGTTTTGGGTTCGGTACAAAATTTGTATGGTTCACAAATAAACTCTCCCGAGTAAGTGTTTTCTTTTTTTTCAAGTCGTAATAATTATATTTAGTGGAGAATTTGTATTTAATTATTAATATTATTATATCTTACAGATGTTCCTAAGCTTCACTGATAACGCTGAGGTATCGGAAGACAATGAAGTGGACTCCCTCCATCTCTACCTTCCCCCCTACTCGAAGCCGACATCAGTCGAAACGATGACTTATATACGGTCACTTCACTGTAGTTATATACTTATTAACAATAAAATGTACTAATCGAACTGCTTTACATGTACCATAGAGTAAATCTATAGAGTTTGTATCACAGTGAAATCGCGTAGGTACTAGATGAAATGCTTTTCTTGTACCATAGGTTCCTTCGTTTATGTCCACGGCACAGCCTCAATAATTTATAGTAAAATAGATAAGAAATATCAAAATATATAGACGTCTTAGGTATGTTTTTATAGAACAAATGCAGTGTTGTCAGCAGTATAGCCAAACCGTCTTTTAAGAAACCATAGCCGAGTATTTGGGCGAATTGAATTCCTTTAATTGAAATGGAAAAAATAAGAAAAATTGTTTTCATGTAACAAAATATCTCTTAATTAGAGTAATAATAATTGTTGTGAGTAATAATAAGCTTTTTATTTATAATTTTGGCAACACTGTCAATGACAAAATATTAATGTTAGGGGCCAAGACAGCATGCTTTAGCCAATGAATGTAGGGTAGAAATATAATTATGTAAATTAATTTAATATAAGACGTAATTTAAAGACTTAATTATTTGTACTTAAAATGTTATAAGGGGTAGTTCTAATATAAACTATTGTTGACTTGTAAGAGAAACTGGCGCCTCTAGTGATTTTTTTAATGGTTGAGGATGATATGAATTAAAATGAAACTTATTTATAAACTTATAAGGTATATTATTTATTACAGTGTTAATACAGATATGTACAAACATGCTTAAATTAAATTTAATGTTGTGTAAAATGATCGTACGGCAGGCCAATACTCGTAATGAAAGTTCTTCCAAAACGTATTTTCGTAGTAAAATAGTAAAGTATTACTAAGGACTAGCAGATTACCGAATTCAATTTTCGGTTACAATACGATATAATCACATTACAGTGAACGTTGGATGTTTAATACTTTACTAGCAAAATACCTTTTATGACAGTTGTGAGATCGAAATTTGATCGGAACTGAATTAAGCCCAAACTTTTATTACGAGAATTTGCCTTCATTTTACTTTACATTTTCTTTGAGAATGATTTGACAACAGTACAGGGCCTCACTTCTGCTATTTATGTTCACGCCGTAAATAAAAAAAACGTAATATATTTTCAAATAATAAGGAAATGATTTATTTATTTTCCAAATATGGCAATCTTTTGATATCACCACTGATGAGCACTGCCATTCCATCGCCACTGTAAAGACACTGAGTTAGTGTAGACTACCGATATTTATACCGATGTCAATGGCCACTCGATGGCATCTCAATAGCGTGTCAGTGGTATGACAGTGGCTTGGCGTGATAAAATAGCAGAATTGAGGCCCTGGTGTGACGTCATACCTACAAAACCTACCTCTTTGACGTTCACTGAAATATAAAGATTTGTATCATTATGTTAACTGTAATTAATCCGAGTACAAACTTAAAAGGACTTATTGGATTTGTCAATCATCTACTTAACCTATTGTCACTTTTACACGCTTTATATTAGCTTCACTTGTATGTTTGTTTGTAACCGACTGCTTTGGGCGTGATTTTGACTGACTTTAAAACGGTCAGAATTCGTTCAAACTTTGTAGATATATCTAGGACCGATGACAATACACTAATGTACAAAAGAATAATTAAAAAACTAAATGGAGTGCTTTTTACTGTTGACAACAGGCACCCAACGCTTTTTTTCAAATTTATTAAAAAAACAACTATTTTTTAGTTTGGTTTTCTATAAAAAGCGTGTTTTTTAGTTTTAAAACTATTTTGTTTTAAATTAGTGTATTGTCATCGGTCCTAGATATATCTACAAAGTTTGAACGAATTCTGAAAAACTATTATTTTTACTTCAAATTTAAAAGTTGTTACAATAATCTATTGCCAAAGGAAAAAAAATAGTCTTTCATGTTTGTAGCTAGAGGCGCTATTAGTGTCTTTCAATGGTCAATTGTTACCATTCTAATTAATTTGTTCGAATAAGTTTTCGCGGTCCCTACCTGTCGTCCATAACTTGGGACAGTTTAGATTAACGCACAAGGAAAACCGCAGTAAGTTTATATATATTAGTTTTAAAGAATCTCAAACGACCCTCTATTTTAATATTTAAGGTATTTAATTATTCCTTTAAGTTTTAAATTTCTTTTATTACTATTTCGCTGATGACGAGTTTACAATATGATGGTATTATCGATTAGTAATAGGAATGTGAGGTTTTGTATGTGTTTTAGAAATATTAAAAAAAAAAACGATTTATTATAATAATTTAATTTATATTTGACGGGCTTGTTGGTTTGCATGATTGCTAAACCGGAGGTCGTGGGTTCGATTCCCACCCAAGACAACATATTGTGTGATGGGCACGATCATTTGTTCTGTGTCTGGGTGTACTTTATCTATAATATGTACGTATTTAAAATATATAAGTATGTTATCCAGCAGTCTGGTTACCATAGCACAGGCTCTGCCTAGTCTGGATCAGACGGCCTCGTGTGTGAGATATTTATATTATGTTTATGACTTTTATGAGGTCTCAAGGCGCTAGGCGTGAGAAATTTCGGGTCAATAAAAAAAATGGGGGCATATAAGCATATGATGTGTGTATTTTAAGAATTATAACAAATATGCAATCTCTGTGATATTTAATATTTTTTAGAATTAAAGTATGGTTTTTGGATGTGTGCCTTTATTTGTATTTTATACCTACCTAGTAGCAGTCGTCTTTTTAGGGTTCCGTACCTAAAGGGTAAAACGGAACCCTATTACTAAGACTACGCTGCCCGTCCGTCCCGTCCTGTTTGTCTGTCCGTCTGTCACCAGGCTATATCTCATGAACCGTGACAGTTAGACAGTTGAAATTTTCACAGATGATGTATTATACTGTTGCCGCTATAACAACAAATACTAAAACAGAATAAAATAAATACTTAAGTGCTCCCATACAACAGACATGTTTTTTTTTGCCGTTTTATAGATAATGATACGGAACCACCATCCCGTGGGTGTCGTAAAAGCCGACTAAGGGAGCAAACTACGCAGGATAACAACACTGCAAAGAGAAGGAAAACTTGAAACAAACCCTTTTTTTTTTTTTTTTTTTTTACGTGTGGAAAATCCCCTCGGACCGTCACCCCTCCGGGGTTTGCGGCGGGGTGGTGTGTCGGACTCGGACCGACTAAAACCACACGGTGTGCCACTCTGCGCCTGTAACAGGAGGGATCCGGGAACAGCTGTTGTTAAGACATCCGGACCCCTCCTAGCGCCAGCCCGCTCCTGGTGCGGGCTCCGTCTCAATGGTGTTCCTCTCTTTAGGCCGACGTCCGGCACACGCGGACGCCGCCCCCTCGCGGCTGGCCAAAACTAATGCGGGTGGAGGGGAAACCCACCCCCGTCCACCCGCGGCCACACTCAGGGCGGCATGAGGCTGTGGTAGGGCGGGCCTCCGCCGCCCGGTTCGCCGGCGGCGGATCGGGTCCGAGTGGAGGTCGTCCTCCCGGGCCCTCTCCGCCGCCTCCTTCCGCGAGATTACTACCTCGCAGAAGGTTGCGACCGCGGTAAAACAACTGTCGCTACCGGCCATGGAGCGTACTACGGCCGGTAGCGAGAGATCCACTCCGATGACTGCAGTGAGGGACCGGCGCTGCGCCGCCCATGCGGGGCAGACCGCCAGCGTGTGCTGGGCCGAGTCCTCACTGCAGTCGCAGTGGTGGCAGGCGGGACTCAGTTCCCTCCTAGCGACCGTGTGCAGGTACTTTCCGAAGCAACCGTGCCCGGAAAGCACCTGCGTCAGTCGGAAGGAAAGGGTCCCGTGCTGCCGCCCTGCCCACTCGGCGATGACCGGCTGGAGAGCCTCCACGGCGGCGAAGCCAGCGCGTGGAGTCTCCAG